CATCTTTTAATAATAAAATTAATAATAAATTATGTAAAAATTCAGAAAGTAATAAAATATTATGAAATGAAATTTTTCACAATATATATTGAATTACAATAAAAATGATTAAATTCGAAATAATCTGAAAATAATAAACCTGAAATAAAATATGTTAAAATATTAGCTGTTGAATTTCGAAAGTTTACATTATCATTAAAAAATTTAGTATTGAACTTTGAAGATTTTCGATAACAAAATAATACGTATTAAAATTTAACTATTAAATTTTGATTTTGAAGGGTTACGACACAATTAATAACCTTCAAAATCTAACGTTGCGATATAATTTTGAAGATTTTTGAATTAATATAATTACTGATATAGAATTTGGAAATAGATATATAACTGATAGAAACTAGTTTCTAAAAATTTTTTATATTAAGGAATCTATGATACAAAAAAATCAATTTGTATTATACTTACACACAAAATTATTTTGAAGTTTCAAAATTGTAATTTCAAAAAGAAAAGTTAAAATAGTTTTTTATAAAAAATGAAATTATTTTATTTAAAATCCAAAATTTTTTGATCACATAGATTTATTCTTTTATTAAAGATACATATAACTGGATACTTTTTTTACTTCTATATATAGAAGAGATTCTGCATAAATTTCAAAAAGTCGAAATACCTCAAAAATTCAAAATTAATTTTAAAAACGTGTATAGTCTGTATTATACTGACTTATGGATAAAAATGGTGATGGACCTGAGAAATCATTTGTAAGAGAACAACTGATGAAAGTTGGGAGAGTTGATTATTCACCATATAATATACTTTCACAAAATATGGATGCTTAGTATCTAAGAGTTAAGGAAATTATCTGTTTCTTCTTTAATTTCTTCATTTGTAGAAAAATAGTCTTTAGCTAATTGATAATATAAGTAATTAAGTTTTATTACAGTTTGAAGAATTTTTAATTCAGTTTTATACCATTTTAGATATTACTTTTTTATTACTATATATTTATTTTTATTGAGGTATATTCTTTTTTACATTGTCTAAAATATAAATATCTGAATCTTTAACTTGATGTAATTCTGTATATCACTTTTATAATTTTGCATAAACTTGTTATCCTTTTTCTTTTTATAATAAATACTTGTTTTTACTATATCTACTATAGCTTTTTCGATATCTTATTATATAAGTTTAGAGAATTTGATCTCTGTTGATACTTGATCAATATATTAAATTGTAATTGACATTTGAATATATGTTATGTTTTGATTATCTAAAGTTTTATATATAATACTTTATAAAATCTTTTCTTTAAATAAATATTTCAATATATCAAAAAATGATAGGTGAATATACTTGTTCATTCTATCATAATTTCAATAAAGTTTGTAGAAGAACCTGTATAAAACCTGAAGGATATAGTTATTATTGGAAAATTTAAAGAATACTTTGTACTGATTGTGGTAAATCTACTGGTTTTACTAGTGGTTGATGTCCAGTACATATTAGAGGTTATTATATTATCCAATACTATAATAAACTTCAATTAAATATACAAGAAAGAACTTATAATGAAATATTGAATATACTTTAATTAAATGTACAAGAAAAAACTTATGAGAAAATAATGAATGCCTATAATAACAAGTTTACAAATCTTAACATTACTTTTTGTAAAGAATGTTTATATCAATAAAAGTAGAAGAGAGAATATTATAATAATTGTTAATCAGATCCAGTACTATAATAGATTCTGTGCTAGGACTTCAAAATTAAATTCTCAATGAGTGAAAAACCTAGTTCAGAATTTTGTAACCTTTACCAAAAATCTGTTACTCTTATCAAAATTTTGTTACCCTTGTGATATATAGTTATATTTTGAGATATATGGTTACATTTTTTGTTACCCTTATCAAAATTTTATTACCCTTTGTAATATATAGTTACATTTTTTGTTACCTTTTGAGATATATGATCACATTTTTTGTATTAAAAAAGTTGTGAAGAATTGACTTTAGATTGAATTCTGCTATAGTAAATAATATTGATATGCAATTTAAGCTTAATTCATGTTCAAGAAGTAATTAGGACATTTATTAAATTCATATTCTTCACTAATTCTCTTAGACTTTTTTAATAGCAATTAGGATATAATAAATAATTGTTATCCTTTTCAATATGAATTTTGATAATTGAATGTGTTCTAAATTAATAAACTTTTTGGTATATACTCAATAACTAGTGATAATAATTGTTATCTGGAATCAAGTTCTAATGTCTTGAAAAGCTTAAATTAATATACAAAAAATCGATATGTTTTTTTGATGTTTTGAGGTGTAAAATATAGCAAAATAACTAGTGCTGTGCCAGATCACCCATTTTTACTCTACTACATTGTGATAAAACCCCTTGCTACTATCATAAAGACATAATTCAAACTTGATTACAACAAATATCATAACTATCATAAATTTTTACACTTTCAATTAAGATACGTCATACTATTACACCAATCACACCGATCATTCAAAATAGATTAGATTGCCTCCTCAATAATTAAGACACAACACATCAGTACCCAAATCCAGCTATGCAATTAAAAATTTATTTAACTGTACAAATAATAAATCACACAAACTTGGGATTCAATCATAAGAAAATAAGAACATTCAATCAGAAATGATATGCTTCTTTTTTAAATAATATTGTTGTGCAATCATGTGTTATTTGTCTGGATAGTGTAAGACATTTAATGGATGCGTAAGGTAAAACCAAAATTATGTTTTTGATATTTTTGAATAAAAAAATCAAAAACGAAACTTTGGTAAAGGATGTCTGTCCGATTTTTTGATAACGATTGTTGTAGACTAAGAAACCATTGTCTGGAGCAATATTTGTTATTGTGTAATTAAAAATTTATGTTCAAAATTTAAGTTTTTAATATTTTTAATATAAAATTATCAACATAATTTTTATTCTTTATCTACAACAATCGTTATCAAAAAATCGGACAGATATCCTTTCCCAAAATTACGTTTTTGATATTTTTATTTAAAATATCAAAACGTAAATTTTTGCTTTATCCTACGCGTCCATTAAATGTCTTACGCTACGCTCCAGACAATAAAGAACACATAACAATAAAAATTACGTTTTTGATATTTTCATATTTAAAATATCAATTACACAATTATTGCTCCGGACTTACAATGGTTCCCATTTCCTAGTTTATTGTTATTATGTCATATGTTCTTTATCAGCAACAATCGTTGTCTAAAATCGGACAGACACTTACATTTTTGATTTTCTTATTTCTTACTAGGAAATGGGAACCATTGTAATTGATATTTTAAATATGAAAATATCAAAACGTAATTTTTTATTGTCATGTGTTCTTTATCTACAACAATCGTTATCAAAAAATCGGACAGACATCCTTTACCAAAGTTTCGTTTTTTATTTTTTTATTTAAAAATACCAAAACGTAATTTAAAAATATCAAAAACGTAATTTTGGTTTTATCCTACGCGTCCATTAAATGTCCTACGCTACGCTCCAGCAATAATTTTTAACATTATAATTAGAAAAATTTATTAAAAATTATTATATTCAAAAATTACATTATCATTAATATATATAATAGAAAAAAAGTAATTACAAAATATAAATAAATGAAATGTGAAATTTCTTCTAATGTTGGATATCATCCCATTCTCTACCTTTAACTTGCGAAAGTTCTTCCTTGGTAGGGACACTTCCACCAGTGAAATATCCGTCAGCAATTTTAGCATCAATTTCAACACTAAAATTAAATTATCATTAATAATAAATAATTAATATTTAAATTCATCTTATAATGATAGGAGAGGCTAAACCTACCGAGAATCAGGTGGAATCATTTCGTCAGGAATAGGAACTCGTTCATGGATTTCAATTCCTGAACCTACGATAGCATCATATTTCATATTTGACATTGACATCATTCTGTCAATTTTACTGATTCCGAGCCAATGTAAAACATCCGGCATCAATGCTTGAAATCGCATATCTTTTACTCCAGCAACATTTTCTTTATATATATATATATATATATATTAATATAATATCAATATTAAATGGATATATGTTAATATCAAAAATATTTCTAAATTTACCTGTGCGTAAGAAATAGTTGTCAGCTGTATCACCGCCGGTAGAACGTTTACGAGCATTATAGACCAGATATTTAGTTACCTCACCAAGAGCACGTCCTTCTTTACGAACTGGAATTTCAACATATAAATTTTATATAAAATATTTTTTTTTAAGTATTTTGACCAAAGGAATGTAATATTTTAATATATATACATATATATTTTTACTAAACTTACAATAAACAATTACACCTGATCCCCCTCTTTGAGCTTCTTTAACACACTCTTCCATACCAAAAATCAAATAAGGTCTACAAGTACAAATATCAGATCCAAACACATCTGATCCATTGCATTCATCATGAACACGCACAGTCAACCGTTTACTTGGGTCACTAACATATTTTGGATTTCCAAATATATACACGGTGAGCCCTCCAATGGGAGGTAAAAATACTTTGAGATCGGGGCGAGTTATCAATTCTGGATACATTCCTCCTGTATCTTCAAAGAGTGCTCGACGTAGTATTCCTTCTTCAATACCAAATCGTGCAGCAACGCCTGGTAAATACCAAACAGGCTCAACTGCTGCTTTTACTACATTTAATTCTCCTGATTGATTAAGTACAACGTTTCCATCAATCTTTAATCTTCCTGATTTCACCAAATTTTCAATTTCGGGCAATTTCATATGTGCTTTGGTTATAGCAATAGTAGGATGAATATCACGACCTTTAGCAATTTCATTTTCAAATGTGATAGTCGCCATATGTCCAAAGGGATCCAATGAGACAATTTTATTTGGTATTCCCCATTGTGGATGAGGACCTATTTGAACGGTAGGTTCGGTATTTTTAAAATCAGGTCGATGATTAGGATCAAGCGCACCCATCGCAACAGCCAATGCGCGATAAACACAATAAGAACCACCGTATGCACCAATAGCATTACTATTAAAAAAGATTTTATGATATTTATAAACATTAATGAATATTTATGGAATTTATGAATATTAATGAAATTTACCGAATCTTAATGCTTGCAGGATGTCGAGATGCTACGATTGGACCGCGAACATTTGGATCGAGCTCAGCCCATTTAAGGGGAATAGGTTTAATACCAAATTGATCAGGATATGCTAAAGTTTCCGTCAATAGGGATCGTTGTATGATAAAAATGACTCTTTAATTATTTTCATTGCAAAAAGTAATAAATAATGAATTATTTTACTTGTTAAAATTACTCTTTCAGAATACAATAAATTATTGGTTCCTGAGGCTGATTGTGTTATTTTTGCTCGAATTTCTGGTATCACTTTATCGGTTTCTAAAAGAATATAATAAAAAAAAAAAAATTTTTTTTTTAATAAGAGAATGTAAATCTTTTTTTAAAAAAAAAAAGAAAAACGAAGTACCTTTAATATCTGTTTTAATGTACTCCTGAGGACTTCTTTTCGAATGCTCATCTAGACTTTCATTTGTGCTAATCCCCAGACGAGGCAATCCATCCAAACATTCGTGTACCCTTTTAAATTCCTTCTCTGTTCGAGCTGAGTATTCCTCAAACTATATCAATCAAACAATATATTGTTTTTGAAAATCAGTAAAACTTTTTTCGCGTTTTGACAAGAGGAATATATACCTTTGCATTTAGCGAGTGTTGAGCTTTTGACGTCGATTCTAAAGATTCTAAGATTTTAGACAGAATAGTTTCGTTTTCCATTTTGTTTATTTAAAAAAATATTATTTTCCAAATATAGAAATAAAAATTCTAACATCTTAAAATTTATTTTCTTCTTAAAATAGCCTGTATAAATAGTTTAAAATTCTTACGTATCAGATGATATGGAAACGCAACCAAGAAAAAAAAGAGAATAGTATTATTAAAGTTTAGTTGATTTGTAAAATAATAAATGACAGTCACATGATATTTCGAAGTTAATTATGTAAGGGAATCTTAACCTGTTCTGGGAGTATATTAACCGGTTAATCTCAGTCAACGGTTAACGGTTAGACTCTTATCCGCAAAGGTATTGTTCTTGATATACCTATGACATAGTATGTGTAAGGAATGAGATAATCCCTTTCCTCCAATAATAGCGCCTTTTTTCTTCCCAATTGGGAGTTTCAATTATGTCACGTCTACCAATCTCATATCCTCGTCGAGAACCAAGTCATATTCAGGTTTGTCGATAACTAAGAAATGGGTATATGTTTTCGCCTAATGATTTAAACCCTCCCAACTCAAAAATATTCAGTAAAGAAACAGAAACGTTATCTTTATCAGTCCACCCCCTTACTATTACCTTTTTACCGTCATTTGTTGCACCTTTACCAAGTGTTTTCATTGCAGGATATTTAGACCCGTACATTTTGTGTATATAGAAATCTAATCGTTTAGCAAGTTTCTTACTGATACTATTAAATTGAGATTTGGGAACGATTAATGCTTTAATGGCAATGTTTTCATAAATGAATTTACAATCTACTACTAATCTTTTACGAATTTCTCGTCTTTCCATACCTTATTTATACCATCAGATCTTGAAAGATTTTTTATAATTAAATGTTATTAATTCTGGCGGAAGAAGATCAAGTAAATTAGACATTGCAGTATGTTATATTTTATTCTGTATTTTAATGTTCCAGAAAACAAAAAATATTTATAATTGATCTTGGTTTTCAACTTTTGATCCCGCCATAGTGAATTTCGAAAAAATATGTAATGACTACTTATGGTTGAACGATTTTTCCAGAAAATTATATAACATCAGTAAATTTTAATAGGTGATGATCAATGGAAAATTTTTCTCACGATTTTTTTACGAACGTTTTTTTTTTAAACTGGATCAACTCCACGAATATTGATGTTACCGGGATAAAACACATATAATTTTGTAGCTAAGAACAAGGCCTTTCTTTATATCTTAGAAATATCTTAGTATAAAATCGATCTATGCTTTGCAAATCACGAGCGAATTCAAAAAAAGTGAAAATCTCAGGAAATTTTTGCATTTTTTTTTTTACGTTTTTTCGACTTCGCTCGCGATTTTTTACTAAGGTATTTCTAATATAGAAAGAAAGGCCTTATTCTTGGCTACAAAATAATACGTGTTTTATCTCAGTTACATCAATATTCGTGGAGTTATTCCGGTTTAAAGAAAAACTTCGTAAAAAAATCGTGAGAAAAATTTTCGAGATTTTTGCATCATTTTTTTACGAACTTTTTTTTTAAACTGGAATAACTCCACGAATATCGATGCTACCGGGATAAAACACATATCACTTTGTAGCCAAGAATAAGGCCTTTCTTTCTATTTTAGAAATATTTTAGTAGAAAATTCCTCTATACTTTATAAATTGCGAGCGAAGTTGAAAACGTAAAAATCCTCCGGAGTCCTTCATTGGAAACGAAAATTCATCGCCTATTAAGATTTCCTGATGTAATATTTTTAAGCAATTAATTTTTAAATCGTTTAAAAATAATATTTTCAAATGATTTAATAAATATCATTATTGATTCATCTAAAAATAAGCTTTCACAAAGTTTTTAAAGTTCAAGAGCCCATATCAAAACTCAAGAGCCCCATATCAAGGTTCGCGAGCTTATATTAAGGCTCACGAGCCCATATTAAGGCTCGAGAGCCATATTAAGGCTCATGATCCCATATAGGCTCGAGAGCCAAGCCAAGCTCAGCCTGAGCTCAACTTTTAAACCTAGGCCCAAGTTTTTTGGGATTGGCCGGGCTCAATCGGGCTCGGCCTATGGGGAACTTTAGTCAAGAATAATAGTAATGTCTAGCTGAAGAATTAACATAAAGATTACGTGATGTTATTGTACGAAATGTAGTTCACTAGTCATAATGTTGTTATTATTTATGAAATCGAGTTATTGTCCGAAACATAGACATATCATTTAAGCCAATAAAATTTACGTAAATCTTTTTCTCACGTGATATTTATACGTAATTCAATGCGAGACTTAAAGTAAAACGAAAAAGAAATAAACAAATAAATAAAAATAAATTAAATTATAAATAAAAAAAAGAATATTACATAAACTTGCTTAAGAAATTCATCAGGCTCTGATTTAATTCATTCGATTATTATTTATTATTGGAATCAATTGGAAAGTCAAATATATGAATACTAAAAATCCAGAAGTTCTTTACAAAATAAATCTCACAATAATCAACTCGAGAATAAATAAATAATGACCCCATTTTCTTTAAATCATTCGGGTCACGGGGTGCAACGCTTCTAGATGCTAATGTATAAATAATATTAATTATTGCTATGTATTATAACAATAAAATAATAAATAATAATAAATAATAAAAAATAAATTACTTATAACTAAATAAGTATATTGTGTAATAAAAATAATAATTTAAACAATATTGACAAATCACAGGCCATTTCTTAAACGAAATCATATTTAGTCGACGGCATTTTGGGTTAACCAGAAGTCTTGCTTTTATGTTGTAGTGCCTTTTTACAACAACGGTCTTTACAGCACTCGTAACCTGGTGCACAGCAGCCGAACGAGCAACAAATTTCAATCAGACCACAACATTGACCGGTGCAACAATATCCCACGTCACAAAATTTGCCTCCACCGCATTCTTGTCTTTTTTCAACCTGAGCTCTTCTCCATTTCAAGGTTGCCGTAGCAAAAGTAAAATTGCTGAAGATTGCAATAATGAGAATAAGTATCAAAATTAGATTTTTTTTTCTGCATTTTGAATTTGAATGATTATTCTTAGTTTATGGGTATGAATTAGTGTGTTTATTGCTTTGATGTAAATGTAATATTTGATCAAATATTTGGAGTATATTTATAATAAAATTTCTCGACTAATATTCTTCCGCGGGAAAAGGATCCCCAATTCTATTACACACTTCTATCATCATTTCATGCATGTGCATCGGTTAATTCTATATTTTATTTTATATCTTTTTCTAAATTGTGCCCAGTATAATCTTTTTTTCTATGGTTTATTTTTAGAATAATATAATTAGATTATACGAAAAACGTGAATATTTTCAGATCACCAATTTACCAATAACGATAAAAATTCTTATAAATCATATCGGCTTCACTTCGAGGATCTAAACTTTTTTTTCTTCTTAGGAATTTTTTTATTTTATTTAATTCTTCAAAAAAGGCATTTTATTGACGTTGTCATCTGAAACTAAAAATATGTTTAAATCAGAAAGGGACTTTTATAAGATAGTTTTTTGTGATATTCTTATAATTTTGGTTCTTATATGTAGATCTCTTTCCGTTTTATTGCGAATCACGATAAAATCTAAACGATTATTAATACCTTTTAAATTTTTTCTCCATATCTTTGGTTAAACTGAAAAGCTTTTTATATTGTTTAAAGAATTTTTACTGTATTAACACTTTGTGTAACTAATTTCATGGTTGAAAAGAGATGTTGCAAATTACAGTATTTAGAAATTGGTTTTGGTGGAAATATCACCGACAAATCTATTTACAAAATTTCAAGTCATGTTCTAATTTAAAACATCTTAGAATAGGGGGTCGATAAATCTATGCGTGATATTATCTGTTTAAACCCTAATATCCAATCTTTAAATTTTAATTGTTGCAAGAAATTACTAATATTACAATCTATACTCATGCAAATATTTAAAAAAAATTAAAATTTGCTAATTGTGGAAAAGTAATGGAAATAAGTATTAGAAAAATTACACAATGTCATAATTTAGAGCATCTTGGATTTTCTAATAGATGAAACAGTATGTATTATTGCAAAATCTTGTATAAATATTTGTTATCTTGATTTAGAATTTTTGTGATATCAGAGATGTTTCAGTAAAAGCAGTAGCAGATTTATCTTTATGTTCGTCTCACATTACAGATAAGTCTATTTCTAAATTAGCAAAAATATGTTTTAAGGTTCGATATCTTGAACTGGATTGAAATATTATATTAATATTAGCAAAGAAGCATTAGATATGTTAAGTTCGGATATGGAAATAAGTGGATATTATTCCAGAAAAAAAAAACTAATGTTTCTCGTAAAGTGAGAACACTCACGTGTCAGATAATTAATTTTTAAGGACAAAACACCATGCGTTTTCTGAATATCCTTAACCACACCTAGTCTCCTATGTCAGCATTCATGATTCATATGCTGGTGGATATCATTGAGAATTTATAGATACAACAATATATAATAAAAATTGATTCGTTTAATTACTTTTCATCATATATTACCGATATTAATAATCTAGTTCCACATTTCTACTATATATTTTCGTAATTCTGGATTTTTTGCGATATGTATATTAATAGCGAAGCTAGTGTTAAGACACATAAAAATAATCCAACATATACTATGGCTGAAAATAATAACAATATCGAATCGATTTATCAAGAATCACGAAAACAAATGGCAGAGTCCGATTCACCTAGTGATAGCGATTTGGATATACATATATATATATCCAGACCAAGGAAGAAGAAGGTAAGTAAAGCTTAATTAGTAGTTATATAGATCTATAATGTCACTTCAGATTTTGGATTGGTTGGCCTATCATTCATCACACACTGATAGAACATGTCCCATCTTATGTCTATAAGCCACCTCCATGTATCCTAGAAGCATGACCGGCTCCTATCTTTCTTAATATAAATGAGGTATTCTATGGCGGGATAAGATATAAGTGCTTTGAATTCTTTTAAATAAAAATTTATACAAAAATTTATAAGAGTATTATAAATATTTTTTGGATCATCCAAAATAATAATTTTAAATATTTGGAACCAGATCACGTTGATCGTTGATCATCGCTATTATTTCTCTTCTAAAAATGACAAATGAAGCAAATGAAAATGCAAAGACTTTCAAATCACTTGTAAGTAATCATGAATATATTATGGAAATGTATGAATAAATAATAATCTAATGTCTCTTTTTTGACTAATACTTGTCTTTAAAAGGGTATTATCGAACCTTTGTGTCAGGCATGCGAACAACTAAAGTATAAAATTCCGACCGAAATTCAAAGTGAGGCCATTCCTTGGGCATTACAAGGTAATTAATTGGAATATACTTTACGAAGTTTCTATAAAAAAAAAATAATCAATTAAATGATAACATTATAATTTATATTTAAGATCGAGATATAATTGGGTTAGCACAAACGGGATCGGGAAAAACTGCAGCTTTTGCTTTGCCCATACTTCAGGCGTTATGGGACGCGCCACAAGGGTTGTTTGCCTGTATTTTGGCACCCACAAGGTATTCATAATTTGTCAAAAACGGATTTTTCGAATTAAATCACGTTAAAAAAAATTAACATATTTTTTTTTTTTTAAAAAAAAACAAACAAAATAATGAAATGAATAATTGAATAAATCAAGAGAATTAGCGTATCAAATATTCGAAACATTTGAATCTTTGGGATCAACAATTGGTGTTCGTTGTGCAGTAATAATTGGTGGAATGGATATGATGTCACAATCTATTGCATTATCTAAAAAACCTCATATAATCATAGCCACACCTGGACGACTTCAAGATCATTTAGAAAATACAAAAGGATTTAGTTTAAGAAACTTGAAATACTTGGTAAATCGATTCTTTTATGCATATATATAAAATTTAATTTTATTTATATATAAAACTAATATCATTTATATTAAATAAATAAATAAATAAATTAATTAATTAATTAATTAATTAATTAATTATATGTTAAAAAAGGTATTGGATGAAGCTGATAAGTTGTTAGATATGGATTTTGGACCAATAATTGATAAAATTCTAAAGGTGATACCCAAGGAGCGTCATACATATCTTTTTTCAGCTACGATGACCACAAAAGTAGCAAAATTACAACGCGCTTCGTTGATAAACCCTGTGAAGATCGAAGTTTCTTCAAAGTAAATTTATTATTTAATTAAATTAATTAATTGTTAAATAATTTTTATGTATTTAACATATATAATTTCTTTCCTTTTTTTTTTTTTTTGATTTTAGATATTCTACTGTATCGACTCTATTACAATATTATCTTTTTTTCCCCTTCAAATATAAAGATTGTTACCTTATATATTTATGCAATGAGCTGGCCGGGAACACAATTATAATATTCACAAGAACATGTAATGATACACAACGTCTTGCTTTAATATTAAGAAATCTGGGATTTCCGGCAATTCCTTTAAGTGGAAAACTTTCACAATCCAAAAGGTTAGGGTCTTTGAACAAATTTAAAGCTGGAAACAAAAATATCCTAGTGGCTACGGATGTTGCTAGCAGGTAATTGAAATATATTATTGTTTAATTTTATAATTTTATACGAATTATTCACCTATTTTTTTAATACATATATTTAATAAATATTTTGATACATATATATATATATATTATAGAGGATTAGATATACCATTGGTTGATGTGGTAATAAATTATGATATTCCCTCCAATAGTAAAGATTATATTCATAGAGTTGGACGTACAGCGCGTGCTGGAAGATCTGGCAAATCCATTACATTAGTTACTCAATATGACGTAGAGTTATATCAACGTATTGAACAAGTGATCGGAAAGCAAATGGAATTGTTTCCAATCGATAACAAAGAAGATGTAATGTTGCTTCAAGAGCGAGTTTCTGAAGCACAGAGAATTGCTACATTAGAAATTAAGGAAGAACAACAAAAGAAGAAGGGAGGTAAGGGAAGTAAAAGAATAAGAAATGATGATGATGATGTTATTGATTATAAAGATAAAGAAGATAGAGATATTATTGAATCCAATAAATTAGGAAAAAAAGCAAAGAAAGTGAGAAGATAAAATTAAAATGATGTATTAATTTATTTTATTTTTATATTTCATATATTCGGAATTTATGTATTGTATTGTATAAATAAAAAAAGGATTACCACGTGTGGATCAGATGAGTGGTGTACCACCTAAAAATCGAGTTGTCCCAAATTTGATCGTACACAATTAGTGACTTGTACATATGTGTACTAGACAAATAATATATATTACTATTACTCCAATTGTACAAATGATTTATTATACGAAATTTTTATTATATTATTAATTAATTATTAATTAGTTCACTAGAAACTTAGATGCGACATATCAGATAATGATTTTATAATTTTTATTATCGTTAAATGTACAATTGAGTAAAATTACAAAAAATGTACACCACAATTTTCGAACGTTAATTAAAATAATATATTAACAAAGATAAATGTGGAGTAATTCGTCACGCACATATGTCGATCAAATTTTGGACACATTACTCCGTATTACCTCCGCGTGATATAATTGGTGGAATGTTACTATGTTACGAAAAACTATTAACTTGGAGGTACATTATTAATAATTAAATTAAATTTAAAGTACTTTCTTTAAATGAAATATCATTTCTCGTTTTAATCCTGATATTTTGTTCATGATGAATAATAACCAGGCGCGGGCGTCACGCCATGCCTCAGGCATATTACCTTCAAAACAATTTTTTGCTCCAAGAAAGCCTATATCACAAACCGCAAAGCGAAAGTCCAACAGTTCACCAAATCCTCCCCCACCTACATATCAAACAATAACTACAGCAAATAAAACTACGCTCACTTCTACATTTTCTAACATTCAATCTGAAGAAGTTTCTCTTTTACACCAACCTTCAAATACTCATTCATCAATCTCAATTCCACCTAACCAGTCTCTCGATCAATCACTTGACACTTTATTTAGTCCAGAGTTATTGCAAGGTTTACCAGGCAGGACTTTGGAACCCAGCCGACCTACCAGCGCGCTTCTTCTTCGACGACTATATCGTCAACCAGGCGGAAACGATGAGTTAACACAGAATTCTATTGATTCTGTCTTGGAACCTATCACACAAGTTTCAGAATCAACGTATTATCATCAAAATAATGGTTCTAATTTGATATCGCGGGATTTTGCATTTTCAAAACATTCAGAAAATATATCATCTAACATGAAACTTAACATAATAACATCAAAATCACATTCAAGTGCACCTACAAAATATACCACCTTTAACGCAAATTCATACGCATCTGCTGTAAAATACATGCCACGAATTATTCCACAATCAACATCCATACACCATACTAATGATAATAATAAAAGGGGACGCAAACGTCTTTATCAAAATTGGCCAGGAAGAAATCGATTTTTTTTAGGTGGAAGAGTAATGACCAGCAGAGATTTTCCTGCATTTTTAGTTGCATTCTCTGCACTTATAATACCATCTGGACTTTTTATGGGATTTACGTTCGTATTCTTTAGTGTATTTTTTTTTTAATATATTCTTTAGTGTATAGTTAATCTTATTATGATATTGTATTATGAATTCTTGTTGATTACGTTTTTTTTTTCATAGATGTCCATATTTGTTTCATAATGTTTCGCCCGCCTTGGTCTTTGTTTTTGTATATTTATTTTTATTAGCAGTTACTAGTATGCTTAAAACATCATGGTCTGATCCAGGGGTAAAGTTCTATATAATTCAAATTTTTTTGAACTTTTAAAAAAAAGGAATATATATACTTGTAATGTAGCATTGATTTTTGAATTATCTAGTAGATTATTCCACGTAACCTGGATCCATCTCCTCCAACAGAAGATCTGGAAGATCCTGAAAACAATACAAATAATATCAATAATAATAATCTTTATTACCCACCACGTGGAGTTCCGCTTCCAAAAGAAGTAAAGATTAATGGACAAACAGTTAGACTAAAATATTGTGAATCTTGTAAAATATATAGGCCTCCAAGATGTAGTCACTGTAGACAATGTAATAATTGTGTTGGTAAATGATTAATTTTTTTATAATTTTTACAGTTTTATTTGTAGGATTTATTCAAACATTTTTTATTTATTGTTATTATTATTATTTTTATTTTTTATAGAAAATGAAGATCATCATTGTATCTGGTTAAACAATTGTATTGGGAAAAGAAATTATAGATCATTTTTTACTTTTATTGCTACAGCCACCATCTTGTGTTTTTACATTTTGGGATCTTGCTTAATGCATTTGTTTATGTTGATGAAAGAAAAAAATAGTAATTTTATATCATCAATAGTAGATGCACCTGTCAGATATCCTTTTTTTTTTTCTTAAAATTTTCCAAATAACAATATCATTTATTTTTTATACTTAACCTTAACTGTAAAATATACCTTTGTGTTATTAATATTGTCATTTTTTCTGATGTGGTCTGTTGGAGGGTTAACAGGTTATCACATATATTTAATAAGCAAAAATCTTACCACCCATGAGCAGGTAATGTTATATAAAATTTATTCATAGTTCTTTTTTAATTCTTTTTTTTTTAATTCCTTTTTTTGATTTTCAGATTCGAGTACCTTTGGCACGAAGGAATGGTACCAGAAATCCTTTTGATTATAGAAATATTTATAGAAATTGCCTATGGATTCTTTGTCGGCCTATGACACAAAGGTAGATTACTTGATAATTACTTTTATAAAGTAATTGGAATAATCGAGATTTATTTATTTTATTCATTAGATTTGTTGATTTTTATGTATTTGATTATTATTATTTTCTAAAGTTATGTGAGTAGAAGAGCTTTTATTGAGGAAGAAGGTGATGACGATGAAGATACATTGAATAACACACCAACACAACCAACAAACAATACAAATACTGAAACAACAAATCCAGAAACTACTAATGTTATAAAAATATCCACAAACAAAGAATTAACCAATACAGAACATATCTCCACCATTACTGCCTCTATAACAGAATCACATGAGCAGCAAGTTGTTTAATAATGTACAATTATTGTATTTTTATTACTTTCTTTGAATTTATTAAATTATAATTTCAAATAATTCAAATAACTAAATTAAATACAATCAAAAAAAAAAAATCAATGAATAGCATTTTTAAAAATTAATACTAATAAACATCTGTATAAAATATTGACAAAAGATAGATTCTTTTATTATTTTTCTTTCTAATAAATAAGTATGATTATTGTATCATGTGACATAAAAAGATTTATTTTATTATCTTTTTTTATTATTATTAATTCACCTACTTTAAAAGAAATTGATGAAATTCTGATTAATGCAGTCAATATGTAGTACTCCGAACGGGTTGATCAGTATAACCCGATTCGGGGTACGATTAGGGTCAATAATTTTTATACTCGGGAGTTGATCAGGGTTTATAAATGTTACTCGATCTCAAAAACCACAGTTTTAAAGATATTTAACGTATTAATAAAAATTGTTCCTTATATCATTTTACGCATATTTAATTAGCATTGTAACCGTAGTTTTTGCATTAGTTTCTGAGATATTTGACAATAAAATAATTTATAAACGTTAAATTATCTCGAAATCTATTGTTTTATGAAGGTTTAATATAATAATAAAAATTATTCCTTATATAATTTTATATAGAATTTATTAGTATCATAATGATAATTTTTGTATTAGTTTTTGAAATATTTAATGATAAAAATATTTTATAAATATTTTACAATATTAGACTAATATTCTCTGTGAACAATAATAATAATACGTTATTGAATTTGATTTTTTTGTATTATAAGATTCATGATAACTAAAAATAAATTATAATAATTTATTTAAATTTGTAATATACATACACCCATATATATTAATCTACATCAGATATTACTTCTATAATATGGCCAGCTTTTTCTTTAGATCTAAAATAGCAATATTAATGGTAAAAAAAAAAAAAAACTTATTCTAAATTAATATTATGAATTAAAATTTTCAGCAATAAAATCATTAAAATCGGAAAAATTAATAATTCTTGCAAAATAAATTTATTATAATATTTTTTCGATTTCTCATATATATACAATTCATTAGGTATTTTTTTTTATTTTTTTTTGGTCGCTCTTGAAATCCGCCTTTCCATTTCGATTATGCAAAAATAAAAATAAACGAATTTTCTACTTTTGTACTGCTCATGTTTTATCAAATTTACACGGCGGAAGAAAGGTAAGAAATAACAAGCCTCGGAATCTTTTAAGGTGATAATAAAATTATAAAATGCAATTTAAGTTACTACACTTTGTGCATGATTAACGAGTTAATCATTAAAAAATAAATTTATTAAATTACAAAATAATCTAATAAAGATAATAAATCTAACTAGCTTTCGGAGCTACTATATAAAAAATTACATTTCAATAATCGTTTTTTTCTTCCAATGTTTAAATTCACAAAACTTTTTTCAACTCTTGAGGAGTCACAAAAAATAGTCAAAGACCTGCTTAATTACACGAATGAAATCACTATTCAAGCATCTTATTTTAATTAAGATGATTTAAAAGCACTGAAGGTGAGATTTAGATCAGAATCTGAAGACCACGTTATTCCTAACGTGAAAGTTGAAAATTTTCCAGAAAAATATGCTTGCCCTAAAATAAACAGAGACATGCTCGATAAAACAGGATTCGTTGTTGGAAATATTAGCGATTTTTCCGATGAGTTCGTTCAAACCTTCTTTGTTAAACTTGCTATCGTCACAAGAAACCCACCAAAAATGCCTGAGTCCAAAACTGATGACTTGGTTGCTGATTTGCTTCGTATTGCTCGGCTAAATAGTTATCCCTTTATGATAGCGTAAGTAGTTTGAAAAAGTCTGTGCCTTATTACCTTATCCCAATGGCCTTCTAAATATTCCTTCTTCAAAATCCAGACAACAACTACCAAGTAAACTACATATTTTAAATGAGCCTTACGTTTTGGAAACTCCTGAGTTTGTGATAACTAAAGGAATATGATCTATGGTTGCTACAGATGAATTTTTTTTTATTGTTTGGCAGGTCGATATCTTTGATTATTCAATAGGTTTTTTTGACAGGATAAAACCTTACATAACGTTAACCCTTTTAATGGATATGGAGAAATACAAATTGCTGTCGAAATACTTGCATGTGAAAGTGAAAATGCTATGACTCGTGGTGTTTCTGATCAGGTTTTATTTTTTCCACTCGTTTTATCTCTATCCTCTCTCTCTCTCTATACTACTTTTTACAAGGCTGAGATTTCAGTAGAATATTGGAAAGAGCTTGCTAAAGGTTTACCCATAGAAAATTCAGTTGAAATTAAAAGATAACCAGGAGAAAATAATGAAACAAGTGCAGACCCGAATGGAAGGAGTGCGGTATTGACTGCATTAATCAAAATTCGCCAATTTCTTATGAAGTAGGCGAATCAGTATATTTTCCATTTCACATCTGGTGTTATTATTTCTAATTTTTATAATCTTTATTTGTTAATTACCTATATGTAATTATTGCGTCTTTGATAAGTATGTAATAATTTACAGATCAAATATGTATTAACTTCTTATAAGAAATTCTTTTTTTTTGAAAACATTTTTTTTTTGCACGCAAAAAAAAATCAGGTGAATTAATAGTTTTTTGTCGTAGAATAGATTTTGGAACTAACGTTTTGTCCGTTTCTGGAAAGTCACGATGTGTCGCAAATGTAATAAATGCAACGTGAGTGGTAAATGCTGCGAAAAAGTCCTTGAAAAGGATATTTTAAAACATTTGCCACTATTCTCTTTTTTAGTAAGAAAATTCTTATCAAAATATACCTAGGTTTTTATTTCTTCTATTATTCGTGCACGATTACTATATCTATTCGCTACTCGCTACTCGATTACGATTACGATTATACGAATAACCCTCCTCAGATTAGCAGTTCTTTAAATACAAAAAATATGTAATACAAACATTATTTACTTGTGAAATACTTGCCGTATGTAAGGGCTAAGCCTCACCTGTTAAACTAGCATTCCGTTGTGAAAAAAAAAGCCGTGACCTGAAGATTACGCAAAAAAAATTCTATTTTTTGAATTCGCCCACGATTTACGCGATTTTCTACTAAGATATTTTTATGACAGATCGAAAGCCCTAGCTTTTGGCTACAAGATAATATGTATTTCATTTCTGTAGCATTAAAATTTGCGGAGATATTCGTGTTTAAATTCGAATGTCCGTGAAAAATTTCGCTCAAATTTTCCGGAATTTTTCATAATTCTGACCAGAATAACAGAAAATTTATGGCAGAAATTTTTCACGGACGTCGGCTTAAACGCGAATAACAATACTACCGGAATGATACACATATCATTTTGTAGCCAAGAACTAGACCCTTCTTTCTATCTTAGGAATATCTTGGTCTTTACGCTTCGCAAATCGCGAGCGAAATCAAAAGATGTAAAAATTAATTTGTCAATTATACATTCTTGAACAATAAAATGTAGAAATATTTAGCCACGTGCATAAATATTGTACGATACTTGAGAGATCGTCACGTACATGACATATTTTTTTTGGTCAGAAAATTCTCGACTTTATTTAAATAATATATAAAAAAAAATAAAGAAAATAATATATATATATATATAAGACTGCTATTATGGCAAAATTCGTAAAGTTTTTTTTTTATTCTCTAGAAATTAATTAATTAATTAATTAATGAAATTAAGGATGTAATATTTTTGAATTCATTGAAAAATTCCCTAAATAAAATAATCGAGATAAATTATAAAAAAAAAATATTATGCATTGGAAAAAATTAGAACTATAAATTTTTTTTTTTTACTATATACAAGGTTTATCCCAAAAATATCAGTAAAATAAATCTAAACTAACTGTATAATTTATTTCTCTTTTTTTTTTTTTTTTTAAAAAAAAAAAACAAAAAACAAAAACAAACGCTTCACTCTGCATTTGCAATTTCCGCATTCGTCTAAATTATCTACCCATCACATAAGGTTTTTTATTATATTTTTTAATAATAAATTTTTACTAATAAAAATATCTTCATCCCCATCTTGTTTTTTTATTCTCACGAGAATGTTCTTCACGTTGAGGACTTGATCGTTCTCTTTTGTGTGAAATTGATTGGGAAGGAGGACTATCTCGTTTTGAATTAAAATCCGATTGTGTTTGTTGTAATGGTAATCGATTATCTTGACCATTTGGTGATCCTTGATGTGGTTGAACCGTTGAAGGAAATGTATAGGATTTTTGTTGTTCTGATAAATGTTCTTTTTCTGAAAGTGGTAATGTTTCATTAGGATTTTCAGCCCATTGCAAAGAATCATTTTGTCTAGGTGAATTTCCTTCCCGAGATGCGTCAGAAAATTTCCTTGAATCAGGTGAATGGGATGATCGTACATCCCTGTCTCTATCAAGTCCATCCCGTCTATCTCTACTTCGATCTCTATCAGTAAATTGAGGTCCTAATTTTTTATTACTGGATCCGCTAGAAAATCCTTCACCAATTACAATGTCTGGTTCTTCAACTACAATTCCACCGATTAGAGGTCTTCCACTAGTACCACCCCATTTACTTGTGAGCAACCATTTACGATCGGTTTCTGTGAGTCTTCCCAAAGGAATTAATGATTCCCCATTTACAAAATCAAAACAATCTTTAGGTCCAAATCCTACCCCCCAACGTACCTTTATAAATAATTTCGATATTAAATTATTAAATTATTTAAATTTATTATATAATAAGCATGAAATAAAAAAAAAAATATATTAAATTTAAATATAACTTACGATCGTTATCGTACACTGTTTACCCTTCAGACCAACATTTCTTCTTAGCCCCGCTAATGCCCGTGAGGCAGCTGCTCGTGTATCCATTTTCACAAATGCATGATTTTTCTCGTAATTGATCTAAAATTAAAAAATCATTTTAAAAAGTCAAGTATACGTTATTTTTTCCTCTAAAAAAATTATTTAAAACTATTCATACCGTAACAGTAGATACTGAGCCATATTTGGAAAATATCTCTTCCATCATTTGCTTGGGCATATCATCCGCTACGCTACCAACGTAAAGTGTTCTACTCAAGACTTTTAAAGTATAAAAATTTAATTAGTTTTAAAAAATTCAAACAAATTATTAATCAAATACAAAAAAATTTTTATCATTAATAAAAAAAATTACTTTTAATAAAATCCTTTCCGATACTTTGGTCTTCATACGCGATACTAACTTCCGCTTGGGTCATTGAGGGAGGTTCCATTTGATTGGATACTCCTTGAGGGTTTGGTGGTCCTAATGGCCCAAGTGATTGTGGACCTGGTCCAGGTGGCATTATATGTCCCATTGGTGGAGCACCAGGATGTCCTTGTTGCATTGGAGGAGGTGGCGGTGGTCCAGGAGGCCCTTGGTGTTGCATTGGATGACCCGGTAATGGACCTGGAATACCTGGAGGTGGTATTGAGTGACCTGGAGGAGGGGGTATTTGGTGACCATGTTGTGGTCCCGGAAATCCTGGTGGTGGCGCAGGTTGACCTGGAAATTGTGTCGGAGGGGCCGGAAGAGCACCGGATTGAGGGTGGGGTTGTGGCTGTGAAGGGATTGGGAAAGATGGTGGTCCCCCATTTGAATTCCACGGTGGTGGAGGCTGTTGTGAAATTGGCTGTTGTCCGTTCCACGGAGGCACGGGAAATGGTGAAGATTGGAATTGTTGACCTTGGGGAAGTGGAATATTAGGAGGAGGTTGCTGCGCAGGTGCAACCCAAGGTTGAGGTTGTGGTTGGTTTATTGGTGGTGGGTAGTTGTTAAAAGGGGCAATACTACTTGGAGGCATTGATTGGTTTGGTTGAATTTGTGACTGACCAGATGGAATTAGTGAAGGTGGCACCGATGTTGGTGTGGGATCTGTAGAAGTAATCCCTTGCGGTGGTATGTATTGATTATTATTCATAATTGGAAATTGATCCTGATTAAATTGTTGAGTCATTGTCGGCGCTGTGGTTGTGGCCAGTCGATTTCTATGAAAGAACAAATAATAATATAGGAATTTAAAATGTATCCTTGGATTCACGATTCAATATTTAAGGAAAAAGAACATTTTCTTTTAACTGTTTAAACTACCACCCAAAGAAGTAATCAAATTAAGATCACGTGTAATTCAATAAACTTCAAAAATGGAAGAAAAATATTCAATTGTAAAAATTTTTTATTGTTTTCAGTTTATCCCACATAAACTAGTGACAAACTAGAAATTGTGTATGTTTCTGAAGCAAACGAACTAAACATGTTATAATTTTGGGGTATTTCTTTAAATAATTTTTATTGCATATTATCTCAGATATAATTGAAAATAATTTGCAACTTGAATGGTGAAAGAAAAAAACCCATTCAAAAGAAAGTCTTTTTTTTATAAGAGAAAAAGAAGATATAAAAAAACTAAGATTCACATCCCAAAATCTCCATAAATAAATTATCTAAAAAGCACAATTTTACTTACACATTTATAGGTTGCACATTTATAGCACTCGTCATATTTTCTGCAGTATTATTTATTTCACCTTTTGGTCCAGATCCAGAGTCTTCATCTTCATCCATATCGCCATAATCAAAATCAAGAGGATCATTTACAGACGCATTGGTTTTTGTTGAATTAATATGATTTTTAACAACTTTCGTGTAACTGGATGAAGATACAGGCGGTTGTAAAAAGCCATTGTTCCTTGGCATGGATGTAGGTGCTGGGGACTGGGATTGAGATGTAGTAATATTCATGTTCGAAAACTGTGGTGCAGCAGATAAGGGTATCTGCTGCGGATGTGAGTTAGTATTATTAAAAGCAATAGCAGCATTAATAGGTTGTGAAGTTGCAGCGGTTATCGGATTCGATGATAGGAAAGTTGGTATATTCAACGTTCCCTGCGTTAGATTACTCAAAGTTGCCAATAATGCTGAAGAATCTAGAGTTGCTGGATTCAAAGTTGCTTGATCTATTGTGGTGGTGGGGTTAACTGATGATTTAAAGAAACAAATGAAATTTTATTAAACAAACGAATTCAGATCAAATTTTCTATTAATAATCACATTTTATGAACGACACATTACTTGACGTAGTAGGAACCACTCCAACCATCGGCCCACTTGTAGTGGGAGCCGATATTGGTATATTGCTTTCTATTGGATTTGTTGCAGCGCTTTTGGTAAAATAGGCGTCTTTTATTTTGCGAATTATCTCCTTGTTATAAATATCACCTTTGTTAATCCATATTTCAAGCACACGTTTCACTTTTTCCTGTATTTTTATATATATATATATTTTTTATTAATACATTGAAAAGATGATTACATTAATAAAGCAGACAATACTGCAATTACATAAACATTCTTTTAGAATAAAATGTATATAGATTTTCTTTAAATGCCACCATTAAGACAACACAAGATCTTAAATAATTTTTAATTTTTAGCCAGAGGGTGATGGTCAAAATCTTAAAAGAAACTGTAATTATAATTTGATTTTTTGATGATAGTGTGTTGCTGCTGATGGTCATGAAGTCATTCCCAATACACTTGGAGTGAGCTGCGCTATAAAACGAAACCAAGAAATGTCGGTGTCACGAGAACCTTACCTTATCGTGTTCCGGGCATTGCATGATGTTAGAAAACATCTCTTCTAAAATTTTTTCGAATCGCTCTAGATATTCAGCACCTGACCAAGAAGAAATACCATCACCCTCTTTTTCCGTTGCCATAGACTTTTGTCTTTGTGCTGCCTGTGATACTGAATCCAGAACATATAGTGCACCTAATTTGTAATCGGCTGCGCATCTCTGAATGAATTTCTGTAAGCTGTATACTATTCCTTTATAATGCTGTAGGTTCGGATTTTTAATGTATTAGAAGCAAAAATGAGAGAAACAATTTCAAAGACATTTTAGTGTATTGCGAATTTATATAAAAAAAATTGTAATTGCACATGCAATAATATATCGATGTGAATGAACAGTAGTGATATTCTTGCAAGTGTATAAAATTTTATTGTAGTATTAAAAAATATCCTTTTTTTTATTTCGTAATGTATTTTGAATAGTATGAATTGATATTAAAAACTATAGTATTGTCCATTTTCCTTATTTTGGATATCTTTTATAGTACTTCGAGTTGATATATTTCTTTTAATTAAAAATGTTATCTAGCCGTTATTTTTTCTTTTGAAATTTTTTCTGAATCAAAGTATATAAAAAGTGGTGTAAAGTGTTGTTGAAAGAATTTTTCTTTAAACTTCAAAAGTATCTCACCTTAGGACTAGTCATTGCGATTCTCGTCAATTCTTTTATTTTTGAAGCACTTATTCCAGGTGGCTTTCTCTCAAGCAACTCATGTAATTTTCTATCAAATTCTTGGTCTTTCGCTGCCATTTCGAATCTTATAATTCTGTATTAAAGAAAAAATATTTTTAATAGGCAAACAAATTTTTTTTTAAAGTTTCTGTTGGGAATTTTAGTAATTTTAATTTTAAGATTATTTGGGGCATGCTACAATTAAACCAGACCGACGCAGTAAAATAATTTCAGGGGTTAATGATTCTGTAGTCACGTGTAATTTTCGTTATAAACCTTGATACCTTTCTTTAGTTAAAATTATAATTTGCAACATTTCAGGGGCGAAGTTCAAATGCTTGTGTATTTATAATGCAATTCAAAATAAGATAATTTGAATAATATAAATAATACAATTGAATAAATAGTTATTGTAGATTGATTAAGCATTATGAGTGCTAATATAATATGTTTGAATATTTTATTCATGAACACTTATATTAAACATTTATTTACATTTATTTCTAATATTTTTTATTATTGTTATCAGATATTGATTTAAAAAGATTACTGTTAAAATTTAAGAATATAAAATTCTAATAAGTTTCAAATATCTGATCTTAGAAAAAATAAACTAGATTCTATATCTTTGTACACTAGTCAAATACAAAAAAATTATTATATCAAATGGTAATTTCTATATTATAGATCAGCTAAAATTGGATGTTAGTTAAAAATCAACTGTCCTATTTTATCCTATATTATAAATCAATTAAAATTAGAATTTCTATTTGTATCACTTATTCTTTTATGTTTTAATATATTAACTAAATAAAAAAAATAAGTAAAAATTTTGATACAAATAAGTAGAAAGATTTGTGGATGATATATAAATAAACAAAAAGATTTGAGATATATACAAATAAGTAGAAAATTTATAAATAATATACAAATAGACATGATGATTTATGAATAATATATAAATAAGTAAAGTAATTAAAAATAATATAGATAATATACAAATAGACTAGACAGAAAGATTTATAGATGATATATAAATAGGCTAAGTTAATTTATATCAAAATTTTACTATTTTTAATTATATAATATATATTATATTTATTTTAACTTTGTTTATTTTAATTTTTAAAAAAAAAGAAGATAAGTATATTATATTCACTAGTTAAAATTCTAAAATTTAATATTAGATAGATAACAAATAAGTTATAAATATTGTATCCTTATCTGACATATTAGTTATTTAATAAAAGTAATAAATGTTTTTTATCTTTACAGATATCTCTATTTAGTAATAATAAACTTTAATAATATTTTATATTATCAGAAAATTTTCACTTGTAAATATATATAGATATATTTGCAATTAATAAAAACTAAATATATGTGAATATATTTGATGTAATATATAAATTAATGTGAATAAATGTGAATTAATATGGATTAATGTAATTTATGTAAATAAATGTGAATTAATATGGATTAATGTAATTTATGTAAATAAATGTGTAGTGGTTAAATATATCTAGATATCTTTGTCTTCAAAAATTTCCTAATAATGTTATTAATTATTTTTTTAATTTTTATTTTTATCTATATTTTTTATTATTTTATTAGGTAATATTATTTCTTACTTAAAGTGAGATCAGATATTGTTTATCTATATTTATAACTTTAAAAAATTTAAGTTTAAAAAATATAATAAAAATTAATATCTAAATAATATAACAATTATAAAAATTATAAAAGATAAAAAATTTATTCAAGTAAAGAATAATTTTTTTTATTTTATTTAATATTATTATTTTCTAGAACATAGTAGAGAATATATAATTTTTGTTTAGAACTTTGTAAAAATAATGTTTCAATATATTTGTTCTTTTTATAATTGAAATTAAAATAAAATAAAATAATGTTTTGATATATTTTGTTCTTTTATAATTGAAAATAAAATAAAATAAAATAATTATTCTTTATAATTTAAATATATTAGATAAAAATAAATTTATTATAATAACACTTCTATTTAATAAATCTTATAATAAAGAAATATTATAAAATTTAAATTTATTTTAATATATCTATGATATTTTATATTAAATTTGTATTTACCATAACTAATTACATAATTAGAAATAAAGATTTAATAATTAATAACATTAATTAACTTAGGTTTTTCTATATAGATAATTTCATTTTGATGAAATTAATATTGTGATTTTATTATTTCCAGATAAAACCGATAATTATATTAATTAAATATATTAATTAAATATTTTAATAAAAAAATAAATATTTTAATTAATTAATAAAAAAATAAATAAATTATATATACTATTACACAGACCTGTAAACAAGAATCCGAAAAATAACTAATATTCTTTAATAATACTAAATAAAACTATACAAATAATTATTACAATTTATAAAGATTACTCAGATCAACTTAACTTGATTATTTGATGATAATTTGAAAAAATATTATAAATAAGTTTTTTATTATAAAAGGAATTTTAGTATATTAAATTAGTTTGTTTACTTGATAAGATATATAGTTAAAAGTTAATTACATAAGATTTATTCAGAATTTATAAAAGATTATATGACAAATTAATAATATAGAAAATTAATTAGAATATTTAATAGATTATAATCTTATTAATAAATATAATAATAAATATAAAAATAAAATACAAAGATAAAAATAGAAATTAAAAATTAAAGGTATTAAATAAAAGACTATCAAAGGGAATTTCAAATCTATTCAAATCTTTTATTTGAATCTCTATTTTTTGTTTTTGTTTTTTCAAGATTAAAGAAAACTTATATTTATATTTTTTTTAATTCACTGTACTATATGATTTACTAATTTAGTAAAAATAATATAATTATGTTATTTTTACTTAATCTAAGTTATGACGTTATTGACCCTAGTTGTCAAATTTTATTATTACTATATTTTTATCTTATTTATTTATTATATTATTATTTTATTATTATGTATTAGTTTATTTATAACTATATATTTATTAGTTTGGTTTTATATTTTTATTAGTATATATTATATAGGAAACTATTAGTATAAATTATTTAAAAATTGATATAACTATTAGATATTATGACTATAGATCTAAGTATAATTAACAGTGTAATATACAGTGTAATTAATAGTATATTCAATAGTGTAATGAATAGTATAATAGATAGTGTAGTAGAAAGTGTAGTTAATAGTGTATACATCAGCGTAATTAATAGTATATATATTAGTATAATCTATAACATAATCTATTATAACTTCAATTATGTATATAAAGAACTAAATTTCTCTTTGCTCAATCCTCAATTTAATTCAGTTCTAGTTTGATTAAGTTCAATTCAGTTCCAGTTCTTATTAATAAAAATATTTTGTGATTTGTCTTATAAATAATACTTGTGTGAAATATTATTTATACTGTTGTAATTTCTTAGTAAAATTCTATATTATTCCTTGATAGAATACTGAAACCCTTGTTAAATTATACCTTACTTTGTGATCTTGATATATTGTTTTTATATTATAATTCTCTACTTAGTGTTAAGAATTATTAGTTAAATTTAGTTTAGTTATATTTTTTGTAAATAGTTTAGTTAAACCCTTATAAAAATCTTATAGCCTTGTCTCTTTCAAACAAATCTGTAATACCTAAATCCTTCAAACATTATACTTTTTAGTATAAATTAATTAGTAGTTTATTATATTTGAGTTTAGCTACCATATCTTTAGCTAATAGTTAATCATATTCCTTGAAAGTCAGATCATGGTCAACAACATGTAGATTATAAAATTCAAGTTATTCAAGTGATGGATGAGTTATAAAACTCAAGTTATTTGAGTAATAGATAAGTTATAAAACTCAAGTCATTCAAGTAATAGGTAAATTATAAAACTCAAGTTATTCAAGATAACTTAGAAAGTTAAATTTGATATCAATAATGTTTTAATCACTTGCATAAAATTTTGTATATCAGTTTAGTGTTTCTAATTAATTTCTATTGAATATAAATATTCAAATTAAATTATGACACCCTAGCCTAGTCCTTTTGTATTTTTATTATAACTCAAATTTAATAATACTATTTATATACCGATTTGGTGATTGAGAAAGAGAGAGAAAGGAAAGGAAGAAAAAGAAAAAAAAGATCTTTAATCGTACATCTGCAAAGCCGATTTTGACAATTTCAACTTTCACAGGTATTTTCATGAACCAGTGAAAGATGAAAGAAGAAAGGTAAAAAAAAAGATAAGGTAAGTATAGGATTTTATTTTTTTTAATAAAAAAAAAGAAAAAAAGACTTATCTTTAATTGTATATTCACAAAGTTGATTTTGACAATTTTTATTTTTTATAGATATTCCTATTAACCAGTTAAAAGTAAAAAAAAGAAAGATAAAAGTAAGGATAAGTTAAGCATAAAGGTTTTATTTATTTTTTTTTTTAAAAAAAAACTTACCTTTAGTACGTTTGCAAAGTTAATTTTAATGATTTCAACTTTTACATGTATTCTCATGAACTAGCTAAAGGTAAGAGAAAGAAAGGTAAAGGCAAGGACAAGGTAAATTTAAGGTTTTATTTTTTTTTAAAAAAAAAAGAAAAAAAAACTCATTTTTAATTGTACATTTGTAAAGTTAATTTTAATGATTTTAACTTTTACAGATGTTCCTATAAACTAGCTAAAGGTAAGAGAAAGAAAGGTAAAGGTAAGGACAAGGTAAGTATAAGGTCTTATTTTTTTTAAAAAAAAAAGAAAAAAAAAACTCACCTTTAATTGTATGTTTGCGAAGCTAATTTTAATAATTTTAACTTTCACAGATGTTTCCACGAACTAGTGAAAGTTGGAGAGAAAAAAGATAAAAGAAAGACAAGGTAATACTGGTCGAAAATTGATAAAACATACACATATCAGGTATCTGATATGTGTATGTTTTATTAATTTTCAACCAATGTAAGTATAAGGTTTTATTTTTTTTTAAAAAAAAAAAGAAAAAAAAAAACTTACCTTTAATTATATATTCGTAAAGCTAATTTTGATGATTTCTATTTTTACAGGTGTTCCTATGAACTAGCTAAAGGTGAAAAAAAGAAAGGTAAAGGTAAGGACAAGGTAAGTATAAGAGTTTTATTTTATTTTTTTTTTAAAAAAAAAAAACTTACCTTTAATATGTTCACGAAGCTGATTTCAATAATTTTGACTTTTACATGTGTTTCTATGAACTAACTAAAGGTAAGAAAAAGAAAGTAAAGGCAAAGACAAGGTAAATATAAAGTTTTATTTTTTTTTAAAAAAAAAAGAAAAAAATTCACCTTTAATTATATATTCATGAAGTCAATTTTAATGATTTTAACTTTTACAAATGTTTTCACGAACTATGAAAGTTAGGGAGAAGAAAGATAAAAGCAAAGACAAGGTAAGTATAAGGTTTTATTTTTTTTAAAAATAAAAGAAAAGAAAAAAAATTCACCTTTAAATGTATGTCTGTGAAGCTGATTTTGATGATTTCAATTTTTACAGATGTTTCTATAAACCAGTTAAAGGTAAAGTAAAGAAAAGTAAAAGTAAAGACAAGATAAATATAAAATTTTTTTTTTTTTTAAAAAAAAAGAAAAGAAAAAAAACTCATCTTTAATTGTATATTCACAAAGTTGATTTTGATGATTTCGACTTCCACAAGTGTTCCCACGAACCAGTAAAAGTCAGGAAGAAGAAAGGTAAAGGTAAGGACAAGGTAAGTATAAGGTTTTATTTTTTTTTAAAAAAAAAAGAAAGAAAAAAAATTCACCTTTAACCATATATAATTTTAATGATTTTAACTTCTACAAGTATTCTTACAAGCTAATGAAAGGTAAGGAAAAGAAAGATAAAAGTAAAGACAAAGTAAGTATAGGTTTTTTTTTATTGTTTTAAAAAATAAAAAAAGAAAATATAGATTTTTTTTTAAAAAAAAATTTTTGATTATTAAGTTATGCAAACTTGCAGAATGATTAAGAAATTATAAAATGATTGAGGAATTATGGAGCAATTGAAGAATTGTGAAACAATTAAAGAATTGCAGAACAATTGCAAAATTACAAAACAATTGTGAAATTACAAAACAATTGAGGATATATGGATTAATTGAAGATATTCAGATTTTTATTACAATTCTATCTAAAAAATCTGCAATATTGAGGATTTGAAAAAATAATTGAGAATACCATCTTTAGTCTTGCCTCAAATTTATTAATTAGAAAAAGAAAAAGTCTTTTATATTACATAGAATTACATATACTTGTTACCCAAATTCAAAATCCAAATGCCGAAATCCCAAATGCCAAAATCCCAAATTCCAAATCTCAAATTATGATTAGTATTTTTTGCCAAAATCCCAAATCCCAAATCCCAAATCCCAAATCCCAAATACTAGTAATTTGGAATTTTGGCATTTCAAATCCCAAATGATTTGGGATTTAGGCAACACGTATAGAATTACATAATACAAAATATACAACTTATTCTAATGTTTGTTTGAAAAGATGAGACTCGGACTAACTTATATAAGACACGTCTGTAATTTATCATTTAAAACAATAAAAAATAAGTTCAATATTCAATTCATTTATTTCTATATTAAAATTGATTTCAAAAAAAATCAAAATTAATAATTTCAATATTTAAAAGTTTACAAAATTTATCTATATTAAACTTATTTTAAGATTATACAAAGTTTTTTTTATTAATTAATAAAATTTATTATTTTACAAATCACATTTATTTATTATATAATTCAATCAAAATAAGTATATAATCTGTATATAAAATAGTATATACAATTTTTTTACAAATTATTATATTATAAATTATTTATATATATTTATTAAATTGTAAAATTATACTATACTAATATATTATATTATCATCTATAAGCATAGGATTTTGCTGAATTGACAGTATACTTATATACAGATTTGATTGTATATTCTTTATGATTATTATTTTACTTTATAATCAGAGTAGATATTTTTTTGTAATTTTGCTCTATATTATGAGTACTTATTTTTATAAAATTTTTCTTAGTATTAAGATATTTAGTATTTTAGTTAGTTTACACTTTTAGAAAATTACTTAGTGTTTAGTAGTATTTATAAAATTTCACACTTGCCTCTTTTAAATAAAATCAACAATTTCAAATTTTTTATTATTTGTATTTATCTAATAGTATAAATATTTTAACTTTGTGATTTTTTATACAATAGTTTTCTTGTTATTAGTTATCTGTTATTGTGTTTTAATAAAGATAAATCACAATTAATAATATACTACTCAAATTTCAAATACTAATATTTAGGATTTGAAATTTTAGCAAAAATATTAACTATAATTTGGAATTTAAAATTTTGACATTTGAAATTTGAATTTGAATAACAGGTATATAATATCCTATTACTTTTGTTATTTTGTTTGTTTGTTTATTTTTAAAAGAGATATAGTAACTTTCAAAAGTAATGCACCATAAGATTTTTTACCTTAAAAAATTCTAACACCTGAACAATAAAATTTAAATTAATAATTACTATATATATTTTAATTTTTAAGTTTTAAATTTTTTTGAGATGTTTTTATATTAGATTTTAATTCTGATTTTGTATAAATGAATAATTAATATTGAGAATTGACACTTAATAAATTTCAATTGTGAATAAGTATGTTAAATTTTATAACAATTGGATTAGTAGTTACTAATAAATTAACTCTTGAAAATTAATTATATATATATATATATAATTATTTTAAATGTAAAATTTCAATTTTCAAGAATTAATTTATTGGTAATTACTAATTCAATTGTTGTTATAAAATTTGATATACTTATTTTTTTTAGGAAGGACAATTATATTCTATATATGGAAATAAAAAAAATATCTAGTTTAATGCTTTTAATAATTTCATTTTCTATAAAAATTATTTCAACTTTTATTCTCCAAAATATTTTGACTTACTATGATAGACTATTTTGTGTACAAGTATAATTATAATATATATATTTAAGTTTATTTAAAACATAATAACTTGATAGATATTGATACTATAGAAATGAAATACATTATTTATCTTAGAAATATCTTAGTAAAAAATCATTTCATGTTTCATAAACTGTATGCAAAATAATTTTATGTTGTCACTTAACTACCTTCAAGAAATAGTTTTTAATATTATTTTGTGGTTTCTTTCAGAAGTTTATATTCATTTGTTCGATTATTTATAGATCAGACCTTTAATTAATTTTATATCAATATATCCAAGTTTAGGATAACTTATAATTCAAGTAATGATTCAGGCTAAACAAGTTTAACACTATCCTAAACTTTTTAACTTTTAATTTCTATTTTTATATACTGTATATATGCAATTAAACAATTATAAGTTTAAAAATCTTTCTATATTTTACTTTTAAGTTTAGCTTATTGTATCCTAAACTATTCTAAATCCTTTAGTTCGAATTATAAAATTAAATCCGGAAGGATGGTTTATCATATTTAAGACATTATTTTTAGGTGTTGTGATTAAAAGTTAGAACTTTAACTTATTAAAATTCTTTATTATTTTATCATTTAACATTAATAGCATTTATTTAGGGTTATTAAAATTTAAGAAATATGAAGTACGTTGTCTCTTATTATATGAGACGTGATAAATTACAAAAAGTTTTATAAATGCAGAATATTAGATTTGCCTATTTTTTGTAATGTATGCCATATAATATTTAGTTAAAATTAAGAATATCCTTTTTGGTATTACAAGGATATTGACAAAGACAAATGGGAAGTAAATTTGAAGTAGATTCATTTGCGACATGTGATATTGTGAAGATATCACAAAGTTTTTTTTTTTGCGCAAGGGATGGTGGTGATTGTCACCACTGGGCAAAATTAAATTTACGTAATTTACGTGGACAAAGTTTGATCAGGAATTATGTAATTTTTGCCTGGTGAAGTTCATAAAAAATATCTTTTCAGATTCTGTGAATTCTTTTTCCTCTTTACTTTCTTCATCAAATAATTATACTTCCTTCCATGTTATTAAAGTTTTCCTCAAAATAAACGAAGAAACAATGAAATCAAATGAGGAAGATGTCTAAATGATATTTCTGCGTTTATGCGTTGAGATGTAAAAAATGCACATGACATAAACATAAAGATCGACAAACTAAACATTTATTTATATAGTATAATAGCAAAAAAAAAATATATATATATATATATCTTTTTTTCCTTTATTCTTTTTTTTTTCTTTGAATTTAATTTTGAATTTAAATCTTTAAAAAATTTTAAAAAATTTTATTAGTTACGGTAAACATGCCACCAAAAAGAAAAACCACTTCTGAAACTTCCCAGGCCTCAAATTCTAAAAAACACAAACTAGTAGAAAATATAAATGACGTTAAAGAAGCTGGAAGTGCACCAACTGTGGAAAATATAGTGAAGAAAAGAGGCAGAAAGCCTAAAGTTAATAAGGAAGCCCAAGAACCTGCGGTAGCTGAAAATTCTAACAACCCGGAAGAAGCAGTCTCTTCAAGCATGCAAACTTCCGATAATGCTGTCCCAGAAAAATCTGTTACAAAGCCTAGAAAGCCTCGAGCTAAAAAACAAGTACAAGAAATTCATCATGATCCTTTGTCAATTGAAAACCTTTTAATACATCCACATCAAGAACAAAAAACTGCACCAGTCATTTCTGATGTTAGTGCTGTTTCTGAGGTCGTAAATGAGAAAAAGCCTCGGAAACCAAGAACCAAAAAACAACAACCACATTCAGGTTCATTAGCAATCGATAATCTTTTAATCCATACTTCACAAGAACCTGAAAGTGTTTCAGTAATTCAAGATTCCACAGATGCATTAAAGAAACCAATAATGGTTAGAAATGGAAATCATCCATTAGAGGAGTCAACTCATCAGGAGGTTGATACATCCAGTAAACCACCTGAAATTGTTACTATTCCTCAAGAGTTGCCTGTGAAAAAGCCTAGGAAACCTAGAACCAAAAAACAAGAAATTCCAAACCTTCAATCTGATATTCCTGATAATCTTCTTGCTAATTCTAGCATTCATCAATTAACAAATGTTAAAATTAAACCGAATGGACCTAATGAAATTTTAGAAATTAATAATCCTAAAGATATATCTTCAGAAAAAGAAAAAGATGATGTTAATACACAAAATAAGCATGTTGATGAACCTGGAAGGAAAGTGCCCACTAAGAGAGGCCGTCCACGGAAGGTTGATATCAAAGGTTCAGTAAATGAAAATGATAGTTTAGTGGTGCATACAGAGGATGTTTCACCTAAAAGTCCTAATCCTAAGAGAGGAAGGCCACGAAAAGAAAAACCATCAGAGATTTTACCTGATGGAAATAGTTCCGAGTCACCTATAAATATTGTAATGAAAGAAAACGACGAATCTACTCAAAAGGCTTCATCTAAGCGTGGTCGACCTAAAAAGGTGAAACAAGCCGAGACCGTTCATAAAGAAGAACTTTTAGTTAAACCTCCGGGCACAAATATTATTGAAGAAAAGAAGGATGAAGAAATTAAATCTTTAGAAATACCTAAGAGGCGGAGAGGTAGACCGAAGAAGTTAACTCAAGATATAACTTCAGAAAATGTTCTTCCGCATGAAGATAAAACCGGAGAAATAAAAAAAAAATCCCTGACTGCACAACAGTCCGATATCAAATCGGAGGGATCTCAACCTTATTATGGTAATTCTCTGGAAGTGCTCGCATCAGTTTCACTTAATGCGAAAGAACAGAATCAGGAGAAGATACCAGAAGCAGCAAAAGAAACGACTGAACAAACAATCATCAATGACAACAGCCGCCAAGGACAAGATAAAGAAAAAGTTAAAGAAAAGGGTAAAAAACTAGGTGAAATCATGAAAGAAAAAGCTGTTAAGGATGAGGCTAGTAGCGACGATGACAGTGAACAGGATTCGCCAGTAGAACTAACTAGTTTAGAAATTATGAAAAAGCGACTTGAGACTTTGCAAAAACTCCGCGAACGAAGGGTATGAATAAATAGTTTATGAACTTTTTTTTTCCGCTGAACTTTTAATAATTAATAATTAATATCTTTATTCAGGATCAAGCTGAACAAATAAATAGAAAGGAAACTTATGAAGAACATCAACGTAAAAAGATAAATACGAAGGAAACGATTCGAAATGATAGAAAACGGGAAGAAGCAGAAAAGCTGCTTGCGCGAAAAGTAATAATAATATTTTTTTTTTTTTTGAAAATTAATTATTTAACCAATGGATCCCAAGTGATTAATGAAGTTTTCATATTTCTAGGAAGCCGAAGAGAAAGGGGAAGATTATGAACGCAAACAATATTGGAATTATTCAGTAGAAGAAGTTGAAAAATGGGAGAAGAAACAAGAAAGGAAGCATAAACATGCTGACATTGAATTCACAGGTATTTATGAAACCTTTACATATACATATACGTAGCTTTTTCGAAATCCATTATAATATATTTATTATAATATAGCCGAAAGAGTGATTTAAAAGAAAAAGAATTAAAAGAAGCCCAATAACAAGTTCATCCATTACAAAAAATGAGATAGACCAAGAAAGAAAAAAAAAGTTTGAAGAAGTTGTCTCAAATAATAATAATAATAATAACCTAATTTTCCTTATTACCATCATCATATAAGACTATAATCAAGTTGCCCGAAAGAAATATAAAAAGATGATCAATAATATTACGCCAGATCGCGCGTTATACAATGAGCAGAAGGCAGCTTCTATGTCTTCGAACGTCTTTTACAGGGATGCAAATTCTCTCCAATATGCAGGAGTGGAAAATTCTCCCAGTAAAGAAGCAGTTGATCGTCTTACGGAAGATGTTAACAATCAGTATGTATAAGAAATTTTTTTTTTTAAGTACCACGTTTGAATTTGTTGTCATATTCTAATAAATAAAAATTTTTTTTTTAAAGGATTGCAAAGCGAGAGAAATTTTCGCGACAAAAACCTATTAATGATGATGATGACATCACATATATTAACGAGCGTAATAGAAGATTTAATGATAAAATTGGAAGATTTTATGATAAATATACTCAAGAGACTAGGGAAAATTTCGAGAGGGGTACCGCGTAAGTATTATTATTTAATTCAATGTCTCAGTGTAACGTAACCTTTATAATTATTTAATTTCAATTTCTTCGATTTTTATAGATTGTAATATTGTAATTCGGGGAGATTTATTATTATCTTTTTTTTTTTAATTTTAGTTTATAGAATTATTTCAAATTTTTTTTTCTCTTACATATATATATATACATATGCACCAATTTTTTCTTTGAGATAATCATATAATTTTTTTAAAAAAAGAAAAAATATTGCATAAATTCACTGTATCATGATAATAAATAATATAATAATAATAAATATTTTTTTTGGAATTCAAGTGTGCTTTCAAAAGATCACTAATTATTACAAAATTATGAACCTTTGATCACAGTTGAGTATTTTGGAGCATGTAAAATATTATAATATCTTTATCGCTCTTTTCAAATGAGTGCGAGCATGCAAAAAAATCTGTTAATATAATTTCTGGGTAAATTTATCCTAGACACAATTTTAGTTATCACGTGTGTTAGGATAAAAGTTTATAAAAATCGATTTACATCACATGCTCACACTAATTTGAAAAGTGAAAAATATAAATCCATTATCCTGTTTTTCTTTATTTTACTATAATAAATATAAAAATTGGTAACTATATAATTCTGAGGAAACCTTTTTAACAATTTTGATCCCTTGAATTCCGTGGTCACAATCTTAATACAATAATATCTATCCGATTTGGAGTCAACACCATAACATTAAATTTAAATTATTATTATATTATTAATAAATTTCTTTTAACATCTTAAATTTTCTATATTACATATGTCTCAACACGTTATGTTGAATGTAACTTTACATAGTATGATATACATTTTTAAATTAAATTATTATTATTATTTATACACTGACGTAATATTGTATTCTTAGTAAGTTCTTGCTTTCGGTTAAAAAAAAGTTTAAAAAGTTTCTTCACGAAGGTTAATTTTAAATTAATCGTTTCAATTTTTCCGTCGATTAATCGGTATTAGCAGAAACCCTTAGTTCTTGTCAGATTACGTTTGAAGAATTATATTATTCATGAATTTATTATGTATTTGTAAATTTATTAGCTTATTTATATAAAAAAAATTGACTTTTTGTTAAACTCAATAAGTTCTTGTTTTTCGGTTAAAAAAAAAAAAATTTATTTATGTGAGCAATTGATTAAATTTCTACTTAAAACATAAATTGTGATACTTATCAAACTAGATCTTATCTCACCAAATACTATAAATGAAATTACCTCCTTTGAATGAATAAAATTAGTAAAATTAGTAAAATTGGTATCATTTCCCATACCTGATAAAGAATGCTGAAAAAGAAAGAAAGGTGGCGTTATACAGATCATTACATTATTATTATATCTCTATGTTTACATCGTTATTTGACAATAGTTACTTTAATATAATACCAATTTAAGAAGTGATAAAATTCCTTTTCAAGTTATTATGCTGATTCATATATTATTCATTAAGGCATTGAAGATAATAATAGGGACAATAGGGGACAATAGGATGGAATGAATGTAAGATTATTTTTTATTTTGCGATATACGTACCAAAGGATTTAATTCGTTTTCACTAATTTCAGGAAAAAAAGAAGTTATACAAATGCATAAATAAAAACAAATGGATCTATTGAATTTTTTCTTGTTTTAATATTCTTTCATTTAATACTAATTAATATATAATTGTATATCTCAAGTAAAATATTTTCTATACATAAAAGAAAAAAAAAACTCATTTTTAGAGGAGTTCCAATCAATGGTGGGTTGAATATATTTCTGAATATGAAATTGAGAATTTTACAATTAAATATTCAAAAAAGGTAAAATTGGATTATTATTAATTAAATATTCATCTTTATGTAAATGTAATAAGAAAAAAAAAAATACTTACTATACCCAATGAATTGAAATTGTGCAATAACTATTTCATGTAAAATAAAAATAAATAATAATAAATAATTCAAGTTCAATTTTGCAAAGTCTTCATTCTGATTGATGTTCTAATGTAAAATTCCTTGCCCATAAGATTATTCATATTGGATTGCAGAAACTTCTTCATCTTGGACATACAATGATCTAATTTTAGCTCATATAAAACTTTTAATGACCTCACTTCATGGCAGAACATTTCAGAAGATGTTGTTGTATTTGACTTTATCATTGATGTGTATACAATAATGAAGACAACACTCAAATTTGTTGAACGCAAAGATAAGTTTTGTTTTTATCTATCCAATTTTTTTTTTTCTACAAACATAATTACTTCTTCTTGTAGTCTTCAAAGCATTTTTGTACGGATACTTTTATTGTGTTTTGTTTTTTCGTAAAATAAACTTATTTGTTGGTGAATTAAATTAAGTTGTGCTGTTTAAGCTTTTTCGGATGATCCTCACCTGACAATTTTCTTTAACTATATAATTATTAATATTATTAATATTATTAAATACGTATTATCAATTTATGTGGAATAAATTAAACGCGTCATTCGAGTTAAATTAGGAAATGTTTAATAATTTAAACGCGACACAAAGATCCAGTTTTTGTTTTTGTTGTTTTTTTTTTTGTTATTGTTTGTTATTGATGCGTTCGATGTTGTTTATTAATTAAAATGAATTTTATTATTGATCATCACGTACACACGTAAACAAGCGATAAAAACAACAATAAATAGCAATAAATTGTAATAAATAAAAAGATGAAAAGTAAATAAATAAAATTTTCGTGAAATCTAAACAAGCCAATTTTTATATAAACCCTGATTATTTTTCCCCCCCTTCCTGATTAATTTTTCATCATATACCTTTACTATACCTTATTTTCCTCTCAGGAATTATTATCATTATCATAAAAAAAAAAGCAACGAAATTCTTTTATAAATTTTTATAACGCATATATACATACGCACATATATTATATACGCATACAAATTTAGTGCATATAAAATAACATTAAATACTACAACTTTAAAATAAAACACCACAACAACTTTTTATTATTATTATTATTATTATGGCACGTACAAAGCAAACCGCACGTAAATCAACTGGAGGTAAAGCACCACGAAAACAATTAGCTACCAAAGCCGCCAGAAAAAGTGCACCAGCAGCTGGAGGAGTTAAGAAACCTCATCGATATAGACCCGGAACCGTGGCGTTGAGAGAAATTAGAAGATATCAAAAATCCACCGAATTACTTATTCGAAAGTTACCATTCCAAAGATTAGTACGTGAAATTGCACAAGATTTTAAGACGGATTTAAGGTTCCAAAGTTCGGCTATTGGAGCATTACAAGAAGCAGCAGAAGCTTACCTAGTAGCTTTATTCGAAGATACAAATTTGGCAGCTATTCATGCTAAACGAGTTACCATCCAACCTAAAGATATTCAATTGGCGAGAAGACTTCGGGGTGAAAGAGTTTAAATTGAAAAAATAATTTTTTCTTTATATTCATTTTACATTTTTATTTTCTTAAATGGGGGTAAATAAAAAAAACTTTAGATATACCTTTTTTTTTTTCTTTTATAAAAATAATAATAGAAACGGCATTTTTTTTTCATATAAAACATTTTTTTTTTCATTCTTAATCATGTTTTAACATTTTTCATTTTCATTTTTTTTTTTTCGCGCCATTTGTTTATATTATATTGTTACATACATGATGTACGTTTCTTTTATTATTATATATATGTGTGTGTGAATTTTGACATCATTTAATCTCGAATAAATGAATAATAAAAAAAAGGAATAAATAAAAAACGACTAAAGTTGATGTCTTGAATAAATATCTATCTTGCTTTTCCATGTCTAAAAAATAAATAATAAATGTAACGGGATAAAGTCAATCTATCGGATTTGCTTCGAGTCAAAAATAATAATGAAAAATGTAACAGGATAAAGTCAATTGAATTTGTTCCGAGTCGTTTTTCGCCGAGTCAAAAATAGGAATGAAAAATGTAACGAGATAAAGTCAATTTATTGAATTTGATCTGAGTCGTTTTTCGCCGGGTCTAAAAAAGTAATAATGAAAAATGTAACGGGATAAAGTCAATCTATTAAGTTTACTCTGATTAAATATAACAAAGTCAATCTATTAATTTGATCATTTATCTTGTTATTCACCGTGTCAATAGATAATAATAATAAAATAATGAAAAATGTAACGGAATAAAGTCAATCTATTGAATTTGCTTTTGATAATCTATTCTCTTATTACAATGTTCCCAAAAAATTCAGGTATTCAGATATAAAATATGTATAAGATATAATATATGTATAAAATATGTATATGAATCTATTTACTACAGTAGAACCTGTCTATAAACATGTGTATAAACGTAACCTATCTTTAAGCATATAATTTTTCTGGCCCAAGGTTACAATATTTATATAATATATATGAAGTCTCAACGTATACAAGCATAACCTGTTTAAATGCATAGGATTTCCTTGGCCCGAGGGTAATGCTTATAGATAGGTTCTACTGTATAATGATAACCAAAATTTATCAATAAATTATCAATAACCACCGCCATCACCACCAGCACTACGTCCATAACCACCGCTTCTATAATTATTTCCTCTATTATTTCTATTATTATTGCCTCTATAATTATTTCCTCGGAAATATCCTCTGCTGCTGTGATGATTATGATTATTATAATGATTATTGTAATTATTGCGATCATCATAATTACTATGATCACTATAATTATTTTGATTATTTTGATTATTTTGATTATTTTGAGGATCTTCAGTTCTTCCTCTAGGATAAGGACTTGAATATCCTCCCCCTCTTCGAATATTTCCTTGATTATAAGTACCCGTATTATAAGTACCTTGATTATGAGTTCCTTGATTATAAGTTCCTTGATTATAAGTGGTGACGGATGATGAAGAGGAAGTGGATAATGTTATCACTTCCACTTCAACTATTTCTTGTGGTGGTGGTGGAGAAATTATAATGCCATTATAATTATTTTTATCATAATTATTATTATAATTATAATTATTACTTCTTCCTCCTCTATTACTACTAGTATTTCTATTATATCCACTGCGTTCCTTTCGATTATCTCGTCTATCATTGGTGTTTCTATTATTATTATTATTGTTATTATTGTTATTATTATTGTCATTATTATTATTGTTATTGTTAAAGTTGTTAATGTTGTTGTGATTATTATTATTATAGTTATTAAAGTTATTATTGCGGTTATTATTGTTATTGTTATTGTTGTTACTGTTAATATAAGATTTTCTTTGTTGAACTTTAAAAGGAATAAACGGAGGAGGTCCTTCAATATCTTCAATTGATTTTCCTCCATCACCATAATTATAATTATTTTTCTTTGTTGATGAATGACCTCGAACTATGAATTGCTTTTAATATAATTGTTAATATATAATAAATATTATATTATTATTATATAGTATAATAAATATTATATTATTATTATATAGTATAATAAATATTATATAATTATTAATATTATATAATTATTTATAGTATAATAAATATTATATAATTATTATATAGTATAATAATTACGATAATATAAATATTTAAATATTAAAAATATTTTACTCACTTTTCCAACCCTCCATTCTCTTATCATTTCATCAACTTCTCCACCCAAATTTTTTAATAAATTTGGTCCCAGGTATAATAAATTATCATGAACTGTAATTTCATTTGTTACTAGGAATTTAGTTCCCGGTGGTGTATCTAAACTATGTTTATAATATAAATATATTATTATTATTATTATTATTATCATCATTATTTACTTAATATTATAATTAATTAAATTTAATTATTAATAAAGTAATAATTAATTAATAAAGTAATAATTAATTAATAAAGTAGTAATTAATTAATACCTGACATTCTCGACATGTCCAAATATTTCAATCCCTTTAACTTTCTTTACTCCATCCGTAAATAATAATTGAAGAAATCTTGGGGATAAATGTTGATTTTGAATTGGAGCCGATAAATTTAATACAGATAATAATTGTAAAATCAACGGTCCAGTTATTAATTTTTGTTTGGACAAATCATGAGGTAAATAACCTTTCCCTATTTTACGAAGGTCCGTCTATTATTATGTTATATATATATATATATATATTAGTATTATGTTTGTGTATTACATAAGATATGTATAAATAATTAAAACAATTATAAAACAAGATTTTTATATAAAATAAATAAATAATTTAAAGTTACGTTTAAGGCTTCTTTAATGATATCATTGACGTTCGATACTTCAGTCTCGAGATTATCTTGTATATAATTAAGACCATTATCACTTAAAAACCTATAAATTATAAATATTTTAATATTTTAATATATTAATATATTAATATATCTTATATAATAAAATTATATGTTTTTCTATTGTTATGAATATGTATGATGTTTTGATATTTTAATAATAATGGTATGCAAATTTTATGATTTAACGAAATTTAACGAAATTCGTGTGAAATAATTTCCCTTAACCTACCAACCCTTATTCTCTAAGTGACTTTTTATTTCTTCCATCTTTTTTATTTAGATAATGTAAATAATCCTTTTTAAAAAATTTAATATTACTTAAATGCGAATGAATTCATTTTTTAAATTTCCTATTTCGTAATCGGTAACCGTCCAATTAAATCAATTAAATTAAAAAAATTTTTTTATTGAAAGATCAAATATCTACTACCCAACTTTTTCTCTTCATTCAAAAATTTCATAATATTTTAATCATGTCTGATAATGTAGCTCATGCTATTAGTGGTAAGAGTTTATCTTTCGCCGAGTAATTAATAAGAGAATATATATATATATATATTATCTTCATATGTAATGATATCTAATATATCTAATGTGTTTCAATATATCAACAATAATATACAATAATGTGTATAATATAAATAAATAGGTGCAGGAGGAGGCATCATTTCAATGGTATTGACTTATCCTTTGATAACCATTAGTTCTAGATTACAAGTTCAAAAGAATAATAAAGGTGCAGATGCTTATAAAGTAATAATTATTATTTTATTATTATTATTTTATTATTGTGATTTATATTTATTATTTTTGTATTATCATCATCATCATCATCATTATTTTACATCATCATTTTTCTACATCATTATTATTTACATCATTTTTATTAAATCATTATCATTACATCATTATCATCATTTAGGGAGGGAGAGACGCGATTGCAAAAATTCTAAAAAATGAAGGTGTTGGCGGGTTATACTCGTAAGAATTTTAAAGAATCAAATAACTTATTTAAATTATTTAAATGAAATCAAATCAAATTATTTGTAATTTCTTTTAATAGTGGATTAAGTTCGGCAATTTTTGGAATTTCCATTACGAATGGTAAATATTGTATTGAAAAATATGTATAACATAAAATTAATTGCTCACACCTACCACATTATATTTACATTATATATACATTATATATACATTATATGTACATTCTATATGTACATTATATGTAGGGGTTTATTATTATTTTTACGAATTGACCAAGAAATTTTTTGAGAAATCCAATAAACGACGAGGAGGAGGAAGTATGTCAGTTTTGCAATCAATGATTGCTGGTGCAATTGCCGGATCTGCTACTGTAATAGTTACTAATCCTATTTGGGTGGTTAATGTAAGTGAATTTTAATGATTTATTGTTAATTATTATTTAATTATATTAATGTTTTCATTAATAATAATAATATTATTATAATTATTAATTGATTAGACGCGTATGACAACACGTAAAGAATCATTAGACGAAGAAGTCAAATCAAGTGACAACAATAATAATAATAGTAGTAGTAATAGTAGTAATAGTAATGGAAAAACGAAAAAAAATTTAGGAACAATCGAAACAATTTCAAAGATTATAAAAGAAGATGGAATTAAATCATTTTGGCAGGGTGTAATTCCTGCTTTGATTTTAGTGATTAATCCAATTATTCAATATACTGCTTTTGAACAAATCAAAGCAAAAATAGAGAAATCTGGTGTTAAATTAGGAAATTTGCATTTCTTTTTATTGGGAGCTATTAGTAAATTGATTGCTACTGGAACTACTTATCCTTACATGTTAAGTATTATCATTTATCATTTATTATTATATTATTTATTATATTGTTTTATTATTTATTATTAATATTATATTATTTATTATTTATTAATCATTATATCATTATTACATTTCTATCATTATTAAAGTGTAATCAAATCTCGTATGCAACTTCGTCAATCAACCAATGCAAGATATAAATCCGTCTTTGATGGATTACAAAAAATTAGACACGATGAAGGATTTAGTGGCCTTTATAAAGGTTTCATTTCTAAAGTAATTCAATCCGTCTTAACTGCTGCTTTCTTATTTATGTATAAAGAAGCCCTTTTTAAATATAGTGTAGCCTTATTATCTTTAATTTCATCATCACCATCATCATTACGTACTACCCAAAAGAAGTAATTATAATTATTACCTTTAATCAATTAATGAATTAACTATAATTTATTTTTAATATATATCTCTATTTCTCTATTTATTTATTTCATTGATCTGATTGTAATAATATATAGTATATTTTATATTATATATACATTTATATTCATCTTTAATCTTTTAACGTTAATTATAAATCATGAACAGAATGTATTGAATATATTTGAATGTATTATAATAATATATTGAAAAATTAATTATGCTAGAATAATAATAATAAAAATTTGCTTCCAGTCATATATATGAATCAATCGAACAGTCTCTATAAAGCAGGAATATTGGTATTGGCGATCACAAACTTACGGCTTAAAAAGTTTGTAATGACTTGGCTTTTCTCTTGCATCCAAATTCCCCAGTCTAGTTTACGTTCTCCATCTTTAATTGAAAGAGAGAGAACAAGTCTATAAAATACTGAGGTATAATATGCATAAAATATATACATATATAAACATCCTTCGAGTTCTTTACAAATCAATAGAATGCAAGGGGTTTAGGGTATCTTTCTTGTTGAACAGAGATTTATCAATTGGTCATTAAAGTGAGATGTCTCTTTCACTCAAGACTGACCATCCCCTGACGACTTGTCACTATTGGTTTCCAACAGAACTACAATAGATATTCCAGGTGCTTAACAGGTTATCGAAAAATTATAGACCCACCTTAAATAATAATTAAAGAAAATATGAGGATACAGTTAAATTCTAGACATGATTTCTATAAAAAACAATTTTCGTACAATAAAACCTCGATAAAAATGTTTGCACGAGAATTACTTTTAGAAAAGTTAATAATTCAGTTAATCACGATATTGGGTATTCTCATTGAGTACTAATGTAACAATTGAAAAGTGTATCGGTGAAATTTTATTGCGAATAGTAAGACGAACTTTATGCGAATAGTATCTTAAAAACTTTCATTACCCTTTATTAGAAAACTTTTATTATATTCAATTTTTAAATTCATGGTTGTGTAAAAAAAAAAAATTCATAAGTATATAAAATATTCATTTTTTTTCAAACAAAATTGATGTTTAGATGTTTTCATATCTGCTGAACGACTTTACTTAGTTACTTAAAGTCAATTTTCATTGTTAGATAACATTGTAAACTTCTAAAGTTAAGTATATATAATTTTAAAAAATTATTTTTAATTCGATTATTCGTGATCGGAAAAAGATCTACATATAAGAACCATAATTTCGTTCCGGAATAAGAATAAGGAAATCTTATAAAAGTCCACCATAAAAAGCAATGGTTCTGATTTAACTATTTTTAGTCTCAAATGACAACGTCAATAAAATAAAGAGACATGCCTTTTTTTTTTTATTTTTAACGATTAAAAAATTAATTTTTATATATAATTGTGAAAAGTAGCCCCAAAATCAAACGAAGCGATTGAATTCTTAAGGGAAATCTTCAACGACATTCTGGAAAAAGGAATACTTCCCAAAGACTGGACTGAAAGTTTGGTAGTTCTAATTCCAAAACCAAAAGATTGGGAAGGTAATCTTGAAATAACAAGACATTATATAAATCCTTTCCGTTCACGACTTAATGAAATTTATATAAATGTAGTTTTATGTATGTTACAATTTTATTTAGTTACTTGAGAATATTTTAATTAAATAAGAATATCAAAATTTTAAAAAAAAATGATTAACTTAATCACAAGTCATGATTTTTTAAAATTAATAATATAATCAATATATTTGGAATCAAAGATAAAATTTTTTTAAATCTAAAATTAAAAGAAGATATCGAATCAATCAGAAAGGGCATTAAAACGTAATTGGAATAATTATAGGTTTAGAATTACAATGTGTGAATGTGTGATGAACATGAACGACTTGTACAACAAAAAAGCAACAGATAATAGACCATTTACGTACTTTTATTACATATATTATAAAATCATGTATCAGGCATCTGAGTCAGGGTTTGAAATTCAATGTGGGAAAACTCCGCACATAAAAAAAAGGCATCCGCACAAATTTTTGCGTATAGAATTCTAAATCGTGTATATTCCGCAGTGTTTGAAATTCAAATTTTAAATCCTGTGCCTTAAATTTTCTCTATCATGCCTAACAGTAAATTTTGTCATGTGATTATTTACTAGTTTATTGAATGTAAATAAAATTATCTGTGGCATGTATGTAACGAGGGCGCAGTAATTTATTTTGTACTCAACGGTATTGTGTGATGTGATTATACAAGATATGCAATTATATGTGAAACTCCGAGGCTATATATATTATTGTGAGTGACATAAAGATCACTCATCCAATTGAAGAAAGTTTTTGCATACGATAGTTGTGAAAGTCTTTGTTCCATTCTTGCTTTAATAAAAGATGTTATAACATCTTGAACCAACAACTATATTTATAATATATTCACTAGTCAAGTACAAAAAGAATCACTGTAATTTCTATATTAAAGATTAGCTAAAATTGAAATCCTATATTATTAACACCATTCTATTTTATCATATATTATAAATTAGCTAAAATCAGAATTCCTATTTACACTGCCTATTCTTTTGTATTTAACCTGTAATTACTACTTATTGTCCATTTTAATATGCATTCATGAAATACATGAAGTCTTGCATTTCTGAAATTTCTGTAATAGATTACTATTGTCAACTTCATGTAATTGAAAAGTTCCTAAATTGATATATTGATATTGGAGATGAAATTACCAATACTTTCCATAGTGTAAATAAAAAAAAAGTATATATAAATACATATCACAGTAGTCCATATAAAACAAATGTATTTGCAAATAGAAATTTTGATCTTCAAATACAAATAACTTCTTTGACAATTACCTCCATTTATTAATTATTTCTTTTATTATTTTTGAAAATATATTTTAGTTTTAAATTAATTTTGTATAATAAGAAATGATTTTTTACTTTTAATTACAATATAATATATATATATTTTATTTTTGTAATATTAAAATTTATTAAGTTATTAACATTTTAAGTTGATGTTTTTATTTTTTTTAGAGAGAAAATATTTTTTGATTTGTTTTTAAGATAGAATATTTGTTTTTATTTTGAAAGAGAAAGAGAGAAAGAGAAGTTTAAAAATTATAGTGAAGTTTGATATAATTGAATTTAGTTAAAATTTAATTAGCACAATTGAATTGAACTGGAATTTAGCTGGTGCAATTAATTGAATCAAAATTTAGTCAGAACAAAATCAATTAGCCAAGATACAATTAATTGAACCATCTATTTTTAAAATAAATGTTCCAAAAATTTCAAAAATACAAAAATCAGAAATCAATTTTAGAAATATATATATTTCAATTGTCAATTATTTCTTGAGTTTTTCTTCTTCTAGTCATGTCAAATTCAGACTCAGAATTTATTATCTCTTGAAGACTTTTTTATAAAATTCAACACTTGTTTTAAATCTTTTAGTTTACTTTCATATGATAAAAGTTCACTATATTAAAACAAATCTAATTTTCAATTATGTTGTCATAATAAAAATTCAAAAACATATTTAGATATATTTGTAAAGAAATTTTTGTTAAATACAAAAAAAAAACAAAAAATGCAAATCAAAAATTTTTATAATATTACAAGTCACAAGTTTGTTTTAGTATTATCTAAAGAATAAATAAATAAATAAGAAGTCAACTTAAAGTTACACATATATAATTTAAATATAGTGATCATTGCCAAAATTGAAACCATATATAATTTACTAAATATTAATATATAATTATATTGAAATATCAATTTGAATAAATTTTTAAAAACATATTTTGCTCTATAATATAATAATAATTATTTTACAATATAAAGGTAATACTTAAGTATTTGTACATGTAATTTTTTTACTTTTAAGCTTCTCTATCTTTCAAAAGATAAAATCAACTATTTCAAAATCCATAAAACTATAGTAAAAACTATTTTTCAATATATAAAATTTTTAAAAATTATTATTTTTTTAATAAAAATATGATAACTTTTTTATTAAAGTGATCAAACTTTACAAAAATATTTATTTAAAGAAGTGAGAGTTCTTATTAATTACTAATAACATATAAATTATACTTAATAAAATAATGAAACATATAATAATCAAATTCCAGTAAAAATATTTTAAGTATATAAAGCTAATATATATAATCTTAACTTTTGAGATCAGTTGCTTTATAAAATGTATATGTGGTTTTTCTTAAGGATTATTTTTTTTTATTTAGTTATATCTTATATAATGAATATATTAAATTTCAAAATTAATGTTTTTATTTATAATTATATAATTTTGTGTTGTTCTCCTGTTAAATTAACTATCTTTTATATATATTGTTTTAGGTACAATATGTCCTATCAAAATGTTAACTTGTAAAATATACCTAGGTACATTTTATAAGAGTATTTTGCTCTAGGTAATACTTTGGTACAATAGTTATACTTGTTTTAATTCAAAAAAAATGATGTAATCAATTATAATATATGAAGTAATTAATTAAGACATATGATTTAATTAGTTACAACTTTTGTAAATAATTATAACAGGTATCTTTTATCAAATGAAATAATATTAAATTGGGTGAGATTAAAGTAATTAACAGAAAGTAACTGAAGTATTATAATAAACCTGAGGAAGAAATTTTAAAACTGAAAATCAATGATAAATATAAAAGTATCAAATGATAGTTTGGAATTGAAGATTAAAAAAAAATTGACAAGATGCAAGTTTTAAAAATATGCTTTAAGAGTGTTGAATAGCCAAAAACATTGGAAAATTTGTATAAAAAGCTCAATTTATTATTTTTAGGAATTGATCAGGTTTCACAATGCTTTACGTTGGACAAAAATATAAATAAATGGAATATTAATATATATATATATAAATGAAGGATTTTTTTTTTTGCATTACTTTATTACTTTCTAGCTTTTTTTTTTCTTAAAATAAATAAAATAAAATACTAGAATTTTATATATAATTCTTTATATTTTATATATTTTATATTTTATATATTTTATATATTTTATATATTTTATATATTTTATATTAATATTTTTTTATCTATAACATATTTTTTACGGTATTTAATAATAATAACAATTTAGCATTTTGAAAATATGCTTTACATAATTTTGTTATTAATTCTTTTGTTAATGTTGTGTAAGTTTTTCATTTTATTTATTATTAAATATTTGCATTGTTCTAATTTATTATTATTTGTTTTTGAATTACATTATTATTAAATGTAATATATATATATATATATTTTTGATAAATATTTATAATATTAATATCTTTAATAACTATTATTCTAGTACTTTACAAGTACGGAAACGTATTACTCATACATTTTCCATCGTTTAACCGAAGATATCAAAGGTTACCAGCGATCTTTTCGACGGCATCATCATCATCATTTCAAAATGATATCGAAGATGGATTAACTTCCGAATCATTTGACCTCCAACAAAATATCAATAGTGGGGATGAACGTTCAGGATTAGGGGATACGGATGAGATTAGACATATCATGGAAACCCATGGATTAACTTTTGATCAAGCCCGATTATATAGAATGCAAAATAAATTTAAAACCAATAATATTGATCCACAGACGGGAGTACCGAAGGATCCTAAATTGGTTACTTTTTCTTAATTCGAAATAATATCTGATCATATATTAGATATTAGATATTATTATTATTTTAATTTAGATAACGAAAAAAGAGATGAGGTGAAAAAAAAAAGGAAAAAGATGAGATGATGACGAAGAAGGAAAAAAAAAAAGAATCGTTTATAGTAATTTATTTATCTTTATCGATTTATTATTATTTATGGAATTATTTTTATATATATTTCGAAAATAATTATTCACCTGTATATTTTTAGAAAAATATATATATTTATATTAATATGTATTTAAATTTTATTAATTAATTTAATTCATTAGTTCTTGATTGAGTTTTCTTTTGTTGTTTTTATTTTTCTTGCGATCTCGGATCAATTATCAAACAACACAGCTTTTTTAAACTCATTTCAAAGATCAACAATTCTCGTATACATATATAAAATAAAATTTTTTAATTTTTTTTATAAAAAAAAAGCAAATTTACACAGAAAATTTTTAATTTTTTTTTGTTACATTATAATATATATATATGTATACATGTATATATATTATATTTAAAAAAGGAATTTTGAAATTATTTTTAAAAAATTTTTAAAAATAATAGTAGTATTGAATGTAATAGTATAATAAGACGATATATGTATATAATATATTATGATGAATAAAAAAAACTATTATTTTTTCAAGAAAAAACACAACATTTACACATATGATGATGAGAAATTTTTTTTTTTTAAAAAAAGATGAAAGAGTCAATACAGAGACAGAAAAAAAAGAAAAGTATTTTTTAAAAAAGTAAATAATGCTAATCTTTTTATATATATATATATAATCAAACTAAAAATCAAAAGTAAAAAATCAAAAGTAAAAAATCAAAGACATGATTCTTTTTTTTATTATGATGACAATTTTTTTTTCTTTTCCAGTTCCTTTTTTTCCAGCAAAAAACTAAACTGAGATAAAAATAGTAAAAAACAATATATATCTTTTTTTTTTTTTTTTTTTTTTTTTTTTTTTTTTTTTTTTAAGATGAAGCAGTAGAAGTAGCATTATTAGCGTTAGTAGTGTTAGTGGCGGTAGCATTATTAGATGAAGTGTTGTTGTTGGTGGTGGAAGGAATAATGGTATTATTGTGAATCTTTTGATGACGACGAAGATTACTAACTACAGAGAAATGTCGACCACAACCTTCAACAGGACATTTGAATGCTATTAAAAATAAATCAAAAGATTAAAAAGATTAAAAATAAATCAAAGATTAAAAATAAATATTAAATAAATATTATTAGATGAAACTTACGTTTCTCCCCTGTATGACTATATGTATGAGTTTGTAATGAACTAGGTCGAGTAAATCTTTTTTGACATACATTACATTTATATCTCTTTGGAGTGGATGATACAGTTTTTGAACTAAAAGTTGTCATCATAGCTTGAGGTGCAGGAACTGATTGAGGTCTTAATTGTTGTTGTTGTTGTTGATGATGGTGATGATGTTGATGATGATGTTGTTGTTGTTGATGAACTTGTTGTCGTTGTTGATGATGTGCCTTTATTATGTTAATATTATTACCATTATCGGTGGCTGATGACATTACGGTTATAGTACCATTAGTAAATCTATTTGCCATCATTGGATAATCTTGTGGAAAATTACCAGTATTGTTATTGGCAGCCACAGCGGCAGCTACAGCAGCCACGGTAGCATTATTAGTATTAATACCATTTCGATCATATAATGGACCTTGATTATAATAACCTATAGTAGAAGGTGGAGATTGAGTATTATGAGTACTTAAGAATGATCCATCTATCGTGGTTTTATCATCAAATGATTTCGTTGATGTATTTGTGTTCGTGGTAGTATTAGAATTATTTATAACATTTGCAGCATTGGTGGTGGTTGATGGATTGGTTTTGGTAGTAGTATAAGATCCAAAAGGAAACGGTGGCGATGATGATGATGATGACGTATGACTCCCATTATTAGTTGACCATTGTTGTTGTGGTTGTTGTGGTTGTTGTGGTGGTGGTGGTGGTGAATGATGTTCAGAATTTTCTGGATGATGATTATGATGATTATGATGAGGTAAATTATGAACTTTAATATCATGATGAGAGGCAAAAGGTTGATGAAGGATTGGCAATACTGGAACACCAGCAGCTAAACTTGATCGTCGATCCATGTGTTGCATACCATTTGATGAAATATATGATGTTGGTGATTGAGTTGATGAATTAGAATATGGAGTTGTCGAATATCTATTATAAAAGAAAATTATTATTATATGTAATATATGTGATATTATCAATGTGATTAGAATTTGTGATAATATGAAAATAAATATAAATATAAAAAAACATACTGAGTCGCAGGATAGCCATCACTATTAATCACAGGTTTATGTTCTCCAGTAGCATTGGTAAAACTTAAAGTGTTTGTTGGTGATGTACTCATTATTGATGAATCGTCAATAAGAGGTGAAGGATAAGATGATGAATCAGTGGTGGTGGAATCAGTAGTAGTTGTAGTAGAAGACCGAATTGATGAAGAATTATTATTATTATTGTTGTTGTTGTTATTATGATGATGATGATTATTATTATTATTATAAGCTTGAACGTAAGCAGCCAGAGTTACTTGATGATTATGATGCGTAGGTAGAGGTGGAGGCGAATTAGGTGAAGGTGGAGAAATAGAATTATTATTATTATTATTATTTATTGTAGATATTGTGGCTAAATTGTATTGTTGATGAAACTTTTGTTGATCGAATTGATGTTGAATTGTTGAAATATTATTATAATGATTGTGATTATAATGATTATGATTATTATTGTAAGAGGAATCAAGAGACGACGGTAAATTGAAATGAGTAATAGGTATTGTCATAATGGGAAAGAAAAAATAACTAAAGGTAAGTAATTTTTATGTTTTTTATTGATAATGTTAATAATAATTAAGATTTTTATTTATTATTTTTTTTTTTTCAACCAAAAAAAAAAAATTGAAATTGAAAAGTAAAATTGAAAAAGTGGGGGTTTTTTATATTTAAAAAAAAAAAGGAATTATAATGAATTATACAATTAAAACAAAATATACACAATTATATTATAAATAAAATAAAAATCAAATAAGATAGATGGATTACTTTAGAGGGAAGAATAAAAAAAAGAATAATGAAGAATGAAGAAGAAAACAGAAAGATGCTTTTTTTAGATTTCCAATGTGTTGTCTTCTTTATCTTTTAATATTACCTTGTATAAATTTTTTTTTATATTTCAAAATGTCCAAATCGACGATATATATAAAAACAACTTGGCAAAACTCGGAAGAGAAGTAGAAGAGAGAAGAGAAGAGAGTAGAACTCCAAAATTTAAAACTTGATATATTTATACTTATATACACAATGCAATCAAATCAAGAAAAAGGAAATTTTTGTTGATTCGGGGGGTTTTTTTTTTGTGTTATTTTTATGTGTGTTATTTTTATGTGTGTGTTATTTATAATGTTATTTATTGTTATTATTATATTTATTATATTTATTGTATTTTATCGTATTTTATCGTTATTTATCGTATTTTATTGTGTATGCGTGGGTTCAAATGTAAAAAAAATATGTATATTTGTTAATTTTAGTATAAGTTGATGCAAGTTCAAGTTCAGTAACAGTAAGTTAATGTTAGTAAGCTAAACGTTGGTTTAATTTTATAGTTAATTTTATAGTTAATTTTATAGTTAAAGATAAGATAAAAAAAATTTTTTTTATAATTGTCTCACACAGACAAACAACATCACAACATAAAAACATATATACACACACAGACAAAATCACAAAATAAATAAATAAAAAAAATTTTTTTTCTAGGTAACCGTGATATATTTGATATGTTGATATAATTTATATTTTGATATAATTTGATATATTAGGTTAAAAAAATGTGTTGTATAGAAGAATTTTTTTTTTTTTTTAAAAATTCGGAAGAAATTGTTTACATATTACTACTTTAATTTTTTTTATTTATATTATTTATTTATTTATAGAAAAAAAAAAGAGAGAGAAAAAAGTGTAAAATGTTCGTAATATTTTTTGTCAATTTCCGAGAAAAAAAAATAAAAAATAGCTATATCATAACAAAGACACTTGAAGAAAAAAAAAACTAACGTTTTAAGTTCTTAAACTGTCCGATAAGGGTAGTTTATACAGAGTGAATAAACAGTAATAATTAAGACTATAATAATGAGTATAATAATGAGTATAATAAGACTATAATAATGAGTAGTATGTAAATAATAATAAGAAAGAGTTTATAATAAATAGTTTAAAATAGTTAATATAATTTATTAATATCAGATATATTTAGTTAACCGTTAATATAATAATATTATTAATCATATGATTCATACAAAATATAATTATATTAAAAATACCGTTCGATTTACCGTTATAGTTGAAAAAAAGGAGAGTTCCCAAAGATATCTCGTATATGACGTGTACTGTCATTATTATTAATATTATTAATATAATATTCATATACTGTTCATATAACTATTCATATACTGTTCATATAACTATTCATAGCTATTATTAAACTGTTGATAATAATTTTATTTTTATTATTATTATTTAAGATTAAAAGTTCCCGATATATATGATAATATATGATACCGAAAAAAGATTAAAATAGTTAAAAAAGGTTAAATATCGCCAAATATGATGATGTATAACCAGTATAACTGGTATAAACGGCACATCGGTATAACACCGATTGGATACCAATATTATATGTTATATTTTATATAATACTGTATAAGTATACAGTTTAAATATAATATGTGGACAAACAGTAAAATGAACATTTTGTTTAAATCAAATATTCTATTTAATCAATACTTTTTTTTCTTAATGCGTAAATAATAATAATTCAGATATATCGCATAAATTAACTCCGTAACAGTATTGTATATTGTCACGTTTTTTATATTATTCGTTTTTAAATCAAAATTATTATTATATTTAATTACTGGTTAATTTCAGAAAATGGAAGTATCAATAGTATTAATGACTATTACATCAGAAAAATTTTTTATATAATAACAGCTTAGTTAATATAGTTTATAATTAAAAATTAATTAATATAGAGAATAATAGCAAGATAGTTAAGGATAATCTGAGTTAATATAAAGGGTTGTATTAAAAAAATTTTTTTATTAATGAAAAAAATAAAAACTTTAAAAAGTAAACTTAAATTATTTCGGATAAATTTAACGTTTATTATTATTATTTTTTTTTTGAACATCCATCGTTTTGTTTGGTCTTTTTTTTTTTTCGTTTTGTTGGTACGTGCGTGTTGACGATCAAGGCTCAACAAAATCTACAAAAAAAAATCTTAAGATTTGAATTCGAATTTAATCTACTCTATACATGATTTACTATAATAACTATAATAACGATCTCTCCACTAAACATAACAAAAACAATGATCAAATACTATGATGTGATGATGATAAACACACAACACAACACCATGATGATCATTCCGCGTGTTGTAGATTGATGATAATTTCTTTTTTTTTTTCGTAAAGGTTAAATCATCTGTTTATAACTAAAATTAATTGTTTTGTAATTTTAATTAATTGTTTGTTAAATTGATTTCCAAATGATAAAAAAAAAATTTTTTTTTTCTTAACTTATAAAAATAATTCATAAAAAATTTCATCAACAAGACGAAAAAGAAATATTTTGAAACAAATATATTAAATTGATTTTTTTATTTTATTTCCAATTTAAACTAATTTAAACTAATTTAAACTCTAAATCTAGTAAAATACCGTTTACACAGTTAAAATACCGTATAGTTACCGATTACCGATCAAATACCGATTACGGAGTAGATTATCAGCGGAATAGATTATCAAGAATACCGTTTAAATCTTTTTATATCTTTTTATATCTTTTTATATCGCAATTTCCTGCTACAATGAAACACATAAAAAGAAATTATTATTTTTTGATACAAGTATGCCTGCACTCCGTATTTTTTTATGTAAAAATATTTATAAATAAAATTACTATGATGATAAAAAGATAATTAATATAAATTAAAAAATGATAATGACTTTTTATCGTACATTGTGTAATACAGTATCTGAAATCAAAGATCTATATTGTTTTACCCTTCCATTATTTAATAATAATTTTATTTTTTATTATTATTATTATTATTATTATTTATTATTATTATTGTTATTATTATTATTATTATTATTATATTATTATTATTTATTTTATTGTATGTCACAACTGATCGTTATCTTCCAAATAGGTAAGCAACTTTTAACGTTTATGTGTGTGTATATATATATGTTTATGTTTATTACTGACTGATAGATTTTTAATTGCTATCAAATAAATTAAATAAATTAATTAACAAAAACGTACTTGTACTAAACTATTTATAGTTAAATATGATTCAAAATATTTATATTATTTTTATTTTATTATTTATTATTTTATTATTTTATTATACGAAGAATTAAAATAACAAAATAATGACATAATAATATTTTTGTAGCTTTACAAAAAGAAAAAAAAAAAAAAACTAAAAATATCGAAAATGCCAAATTACTGTAATTGAAAGGAAATGATTTTAATGATAAAACAAACAATGACAGAAAAAGTGAAGATATGGATAAAAAGGTCGAACGCACAAAGTATAAATAAGAATAAGTAAGAATAAAATAATATGAATAATAAATAACCATGAATAAATATGAATGATACGAATAAATATGCAAGATGTGATGTTATGTAGTAAACATTAATACATTTCGAATTCTTTCCTCTTTATAATATTTTCGGTACATTCCTACCCTTTTATATTTATTATTTAATTTATTTAATTTCAAATATATATAACTTACACAGTAGTCGATATGAGATATATGTGTTTATTATCTATATGTATTGCCACATGTTCCACATGTTTATTACAATTTATAATTATTAATAATATTAAATGCAATGCAATCCAATTTCTTTTTTTTTCTCATAATTGTGTGTTGTTCTGTGAAAACCATGAAAAGAAAACATGAGGCACTTTTTTACCGTTGTTTTGTTTCTAATTTAATCATTCAAAAAAAGAAATTAATAGATAATATATATAGACATATGTATATGTGTGAGAGAAATAATAATAAATATGTATATTCTATTTTGTAAACATTTATTTATTTCTTTATTAATATTTAATTAATTTAATTAAATTAGATTTTATGTCAATAAAATTAAATTATATAGAATGATTCATTATTAAATCTGAATGAATATTAATAAAGTTACAAGTAATAATAATAATAATAATAATAATAATAATAATAAGTAGTTGTAATAATCCCGAGATACCTTTTTTTTAAAAAAAATATCTACCAATATATACTCTATACACTGTATACAACATTATATATTTGTTTCCTGATTCACTCGATTCATTCAAATTCATTCATAAAGTAATCTTTATTTTATTTTCTTTATTTTTTCTTTCCTTATCAAATAAAATATATAAAACAACAACAACAACAACAATAATAATAATAATAACAATAACAATAATAATAATAATAATTATAATAATAATATCTCTGTCATTGTGGAAATTTAAAAAATATTAAAAGAAAAATTCGATCGATCATGATTATTAATAAGGGTAAGTTGGTTTATCAATAATGGAAAGGAGTTTATTAATTTCTGAAAACCATTTGTCACGCGAGAAGTAAATTTTTTTTTTTATTTATTGAATAATATATATACATTATGTAATTTTATACGCGTTTTAATCTTATGACATTAATACATCACGTGAGAAATTATATCAAACGGTTAATTAAAATCTTTATTAATCTTTTATTAAATCTTTTATTAACCTTAAATTAAATCTTTAAATTTTTAAAATCTTTTATAAATCTCGGTTAAAAAATAAATAATAAAAAATAAGAATAGAATGATAAGTATAATAAATGGATTAATATATTAATTAAATTAAACCGAGTCAACGCCGAGTCAACGCCGAGTCAAAATTTGTGATAAAAGTGATGACTCGAAGTTTATCATATCTCCTTTTTTATTTAATTTCAAAATTTCATCACATATGTAAAAAAAATTCTCTCTCTCTTTCTTTCTGACCCAGTTCCAATTTCGGACATGAATGAATGAACCATCGTAACCTATGTACAAAAGAATTTATTTTGATTTTTATCATATGAATTATTTATTCTTTATTCTTTATTTGAGATTATTAATTATTTTTCATATACATATATGCAATAAAAAGAGACGATAAAAAAATAATAATAATAAAATAAATAAATCAAATAAACCAAATAAATAAATAAATAAATAAAGAATCAAATAAATAAATAATAAAGTAAAATAAGTATAATATTGGGGGTTCACACATACTTTACGTAATCATTTGTGTTCTGATAATGTAATAAAAAAAATTTTTTACTGGAATAAACAAATCCACACATACACGCACACACACCAATACTTCAATAATAATAATAATAATAATAATAATCGCGTGCGTTGTTGTTGGAAATAAAATGAAAATAATAAAATGTTATAACAATGTAAATAATATTGAAATATCTTGGCATTCTTACCTTATAACTACATAATATTATTGTTGTTACTACATAATTATTATATTTACTAGGTCATAAATTGAATAATCTGTTACATTATCGAGATAAAAACTTTTTTTTCTAATCAAATTTGGAGAATTTATTATTAGTATCTTTGATTTAATATTAATTAATTAATAATTCATTTTAAATTTTAAATTTTAATATTATTAAACAATTCTGTAAATTCATTTAATAATTGTTACATCTGTTAAAAACAACATTCATATTAATAATAATAATAAAAAAATTATGAAATACCAAAAAGTCAAAAAAAATTGTATAATGGGTATGAGTGGTATAAATAAGTAAATTGTACAAGAGCATAAAATCTACAGCTTAAAAAAATCCGGTGATCATAAATCTAATCTAGAGCATTAAAGTAAAACAGATTAGGAAAAATAATTTAAAAAAAAAAAAAAATAATTACCGATTACTTTCTTGTAATTAATTTCCGTTGATCATCATATCATCACCATCATTATTATTCCTATTATTATTAGTATTAACCATTTTCTTGATATAATTTTATTATTAAGATTATTATTTTGGATATAATTGATTTCATCAACTAATTCAAATTTAATACATTCAAACTTAATTTAGTTTAAATTTGAACATTATTACTAATAACAAACTCATTTCTAATTGATAAGCTGCAAGTAATAATTTATCCGAGATACAACATCAATAATTACATTAGTAATATGACAACACGAAAACATAACAGCGACAACAGCAACAACATTACAACATGACAGCAGAAATACAACAAGAACAGCAGCAAACAGAAATAACAGCAACAGAAAATAATAACGACAAAGTAAAAAAGCGATACACAACTTAATCTGTATTTTTTTTTTTTTTTTGTATTTATCCTTGTATTTTTGTTGATGTTTTTATTCACAAATAAAAAATTTTCCGTCAAAATAAATAATGAATATTAATCATAATTATATTATAAGAAAAAGAAGAAGAATAATAAGAAGAATAATAATAACAATATACAACAACAATAATAATAATAATAACAATAATAATAATTGATTGAACGCTAATTTTAATGATTAAAAATAGTAATTTTATAGTAATATTAACTTCTCACAAAAGAGAGGTGACAGGTGGAGGTGGCTGAAGAAAAGAGGAGGTGGCTAAAGCTTGATTGAAATACTAACTGTTAATGGTTAAAGATTTATATTAGCACAAATTATTTTTTACTTATTTTTAATATTTTACGTCATGTACGCTTAAAATTTTTAAGTAATTAATTTTAAAGTTGTATTAAAAATTTTTATTGTAATGTAAATGAAGATTATTACTTGAAGTGGTAAATTATTTGTTTAAACTATAAATGACTATAGCTAATATGAATTAACCACATAATTTAATAAATCTATTTTTGTATTAGAATAAAAATAAATTAAATAATCACATTAAAAAAAAAACCGTTACAAAAAAAAAAATAATCATTAAAAATAATAATCTTAATAATTACCTTGACATGGTCAAAAAAAAAAAAAACTCATTATCGTAATATCACCCCCCCAAAAAACAATCATTTCGTTAATTATTTTTATCATTTTTTCACATGTTTTAATTTTTTTTTTTTTTTTAATTCACACAAATTGGGATTTCATTCTTTTTACTATTTCGTTTATTATGTAAACTTTTATCAGAAGACGTAATCAGTTATCACACATCCACTTAAATCTTATTTATTATTTACTATTATTATTATTATTTTTTATTTTTATATTTATCATTTCATATACATCATAATATATTATTCTGACATGTATATACAATATGTAAACATTGTACACACATATACTCAACAGTATAGAGTCTACTAAATATATGCTATATATTTGTTATTATTATTATACATTCTATACTTTTATATACTTTTCATGTGCATTCTATACTTTTATATACTTTATATGCATATACTTTTATGTATACTTTATATATACTTTTATATTCCACCTTATTATTCTTCTTCTTTTCGGCATCTCTTATATCATTATCAATTATTATTATTTTTATTATTTTCATCATTATTATTATTATTATGCTAAACTTTATTTTAATAATTATTTTAATAATTATTTAAATAATAAATAAATAAATTAATGAATAAATAAAAGCTTTTTTTATTTTTTCTTTTAAGTATTTTTCTTTATTTTACAGTATTTTCCTCGTGATTAAAAACCTTTTTTAATAATAAAGAAGTTTTGTGACAATAGGTAATAACTAAGAATAAATAAATAAATTAATAAATAAATAATTCAAAATAATAATATAATATATAATATCATTCAATTAACTTCAATATAGTCAACACGTAAAATTGTACTTTGTCCCGAGTATATACTCAAATGTTGCTGCAAGTAATGCTAAGTAATGCTGTAATTAATATTTCGCTAACTTTTTTATTAACATTATTATTATATTATTATTATTATTATTATTATTATTATTATTAATCTTTAATTTTTTCATTAATCGTTCATTCATCATTTCATTCATTCTCTTTTCATTAATCTTAATTAATAAAACAAAGTAATGCAATAATAATAGTAATTATAGAATATTGAATTTTCATTTTTAATCATTAATAATCGATTGTTACATAATCCATTTCAAATGTGCTTACCAAAGAATTTTGAAATTTTCAAAAGTCGATTTGATTTGTCGTGATTTTTTTTGTTTCTTTATTCATTCATCAATCAATCAATCAATCAAAAAAAAAAAAAAAAAAACAAAACCACAAAAATTTAAAAATCCCACCAACAAACTCATGTACGTCATGGCAAAATGATACGACATATTTTCTCTGTCCTTTATGCCCACTCGCATTCATCTCACATTCAATCCTACCAACAACAACATTTTTAATCATACATTTTTTTAAATCATACATTCATCACACATTCATACATATCCACACATGCACATATGTTCAGTCCAAACAAAATTTCATTCAATTTCTTTAATCCTTCTCTTTTTATTTTTCATTTTATTTCAAATTTTGGTTGTACATTTAAAAAAAGAATCTCCGATTTTTTTTTTTTTTTTTTTTTAAATATTACAGTTCAACTAACTTATTAAAGATTACATATTGCATCATACATATTTTAATAAAGTTCAGTTGGATTATAATAATAACTTTTTTAAATAAATCACATGATTTGTTTTACATGTTTAAACCTTTTATGTATTAATCAAGTCAAGTATTAATATATATAATAACAAAGTATATCCAGATGGTCATCTTGACAAAGGTAATTTATTTTGTTTCTAGATGATAAACCATCAAGAAGTAATGAATAAACAAATGAATATTACAGATTCATTCTTCATTCAACAGGAAAGAACGGAAATAAAAAAAAAGCATATTTTTAATTTTTCTTAATCTTAATTTTATTTACTTTTATTTAAAAAAAGAACAATCAAAAAAAATTTGTCATATTGTGAGACTGAGAGAAAGAGAGATAGATATATATCTATCCTACTTATGATTTGTTTCATAAAATGAAAAAAATAACAATAAATAAAAATAAAATAAAATAAATGAAATAATTGAAATAAATGAAAAAATAAAATAAATAAATAAATTTTTTTTTCTTTTTAAAAAAATATATAATAATAGTAGTGAAAAAAATTTAATACAATTACAAATAAGAATATTACACATGATTTTTGCATTTTGGTATTTTGATCTTTGATATTTTGATGAAATGATGATAATATAATAAAAATAAAAAAAAATAATTTAAAAAAAAAATTGAATAATAACAAGAATAACAACAATAATGAACATATAATAATAAAAATATAATAATAGTAGTAAGTAGTGAGGTGAGACATCCGAACTTTATCAAATAATAATAGGAAATAAATAATAAATTAATGATTATAACATTAATTATTGTAAATATATATATATATTTTTTTTTTTTTTTTTTTTTTTTTTTTTTTACTTTCCTTTATTCTAAAGTAAATATTTTCTTGTTATTCTGATTATTCTGAATGATGATGATGTTCTGTTAATTAAACTATTTCAAACTATTTTAAAACTATTTCATACTATTTCATACTATTTCATACCATACACACATATATATTCATATATAAACTACAGTATATACGATATATTAATTACGTTAAAACTGAATGATATTAAGTTATCGATGACCTCACAATATGAATGTTATGTAATATAATAATGATGATGCTAATAATAATTATTATTATTTAATGATAATAATAAATCAAAATCACCGAAATGCGAAAACCCGATGCCAAAAAAAAATCAAAAATAAACTGTATAGACAAAAAAAAAGAATATAAAAAATATATGTAGAGAAGAGAAATATTCAAAGAAAATAAAAAAAGTAAAGAGAAAAAAAAAGCAACTGAGAAATAATTGAGAAATAATAATAATTGAAAAAAAAAGGAAAAAAAAAAGGTAAATTTAAATGAAAGACATCATCATTATTATCTTATTGTAGTTGTTATTATTATTATTGTTGTTATTGTTATTGTTGTTGTTGTGTTGTTGTTGTTGTTATTGTGATGCAAACCTTCGTTCGTTCTTCATTTATTATACTTCTCATTTTATAAATCTCATAATCTTTTATATAATCTATAAATCTTTTATCTTCTTTATTTTAATTCTCATCATCTTTCTTACTTCCTTTCTTCTCTATCTATAAAATTACACATTGCCTCTTACGTTTTGGTACGGGTGCAGGACAAAGGACAGCACGGATGGCTTCATCAAATACGTTCTTTAATCCTTTTTGAGTAAGGGCAGAACATTCGAGATATCTTACGGCGGAAACATCTTTGGCCATTTGTAAACCTTGAGGATATGTAACAGGTTGTTGAGCTTTTTGACGAAGTTTAATGATGGTCTCTTTATCTTCACGAAGATCGAGTTTTGTTCCAACAAGAATGATTGGAATATTTGGTGCATGATGAGTGATTTCAGGATACCACTACATAAAGTAAGCAAGCAGCAAGCAAGTTTAAACAAATGAATCAATAAATAAATCAATAAACATGTGAATAAATAAGCAAATAAATATAAATATAATTTATATGTATAAAATTTAATTACCTTGCCCCGAACGTTTTCGAAAGAAGGAGGACTAACTAAAGAGAAACAGATTAAGAAAACGTCCGTTTGAGGATATGAAAGAGGACGTAAACGATCATAATCTTCTTGACCAGCGGTATCCCAGAGACCAAGATTAATTGGTTTTCCATCAACCATTACATTCGCAGAATAATTGTCAAAACTAATAATAATAATAAATATATATAATTTACGTCATCGATCCAATAAAATATTAAGATTAAAGTTTACATAAAAAAAGTTTATACTTACACTGTTGGAATGTATTCCCCGGGAAATGCATTAGTGGTATAACTAATCAAGAGACAAGTCTTACCGACGGCACTAAGAATGATGAATAATAAATAATTATAAAGAAGAATATAATAAATAATAATGTATAATAATAATAAATAATGGATAATGAATAATAATAAACAAAATGAAACATTAATTAATTCAATTCTTTGGGAAGTTGATAAAATTATGTCATTGAAAAAAAAAATTTCATAAATGTCATAAATGCGTATCAATCATGATCAAAGAGTCCAATATATAAAATTAATATTCATCTATCCAAATCTTTCCAAATAAATTAATTGTCATTATTATTATTATTATTTATTTATATTTTTATTTCTAACATTTTTGATTTCTAAAATTTTTTAATTTTTACTTATTTTCTTTTTCGTATCGGTATAAATTATAAATAGAACCACCCATTATTCATTTTACTTCTATTATTTTTTAAATTACTACTATTAAGTCAATATATTTATTTTATCAGGTGACCCTGACCCTATCCCTTTCTCAAGAATATAGTTTAATTATTAATGCAATCTTTCAAAGATGATGGTACCCATTTAGTTACTATCACTTTTATTAATATTAATTACTATTACTCACCCGTCACCAACCACGACACATTTGATGGCTTGCATTGTTATTGGATGAAGCTAAAGTTTAGATCTAACCTTTTCACTTAAAACTTTTTAAACGAAAGAAAATTTACAAAAAAAAAAAGAGAAAAAACGAAAAGAGGAAATATATAATTAATTTAATTTTTTTTTTGCGTGAACAAAGAGGGAAGGAAAAAGGAATGAAGTAAATTTTTTCTTTCGACAATGAAGGGGACGAGAAAAAAGTTTTAGGAAACAAGGAAAGTTTAATTTTTTATTTTTTTAAGTCTGCAGTACAACACAATATTTTGTATCAATATTGTATCAATAATTGTTGTGTTAAAGAAATTTTATTGGTATTGTGTAAACGCTTCTCTATAATATAATATTAAACATCTCTCATCATCATCATCATCATCATTTTTTGATGCTATTTGTGTACCATTTGTAGTAATTTCGAAAATCTCTTTGATGTAAAAAAGAAGGTAATGATTGGATAATTTTATAACTCGTGGTACCTAATCGATTTATTAATTAATGAAAGGTGTGAAACTCGTGGAAAGAAACACAAAATATTACACGATTATTATTATTATTGATTTTATTCATTATTATTTATATCTGTTATCTTTGATTATTATTTATTATTTATTTTAAATTATTATTATTATTATTCTTCTTCTTCTTCTTATCTTTATGAATGAATGCCAATTTAAGGTATTCATTTCCTTTCATTTTCCTTTTCTTTTCGTACCCTTAAGGAAAAAAAAATTTCCTCGATCAGAATGTCAAAAAATGTTTAGAATGATCGGGAACCTCTCCCCCATAATAAAAAATAAATTAAGAAGTATGAAATATACATATTCCTCACCCTGGGTGAACTGAAACCCCCTATTTTTACTCGAGTAAAGTTGCTTTCATGTGATTACCAGTGAAAAAAATTATGTGACAAATAGAGTTTTCTAACCCAAACGGTGAAATTCTGTGTGACAAGTATAGGGGTGAGAAGAAAAAATTTCCCGAACTTCAAAGGCACATGATTACGAGATGATTTTAACATGATTTTTATAACCACGTTTTTTTTTTTAAATCCACCCCACATGTATCGCATTTATCGAATTTATCGCATTTACCTCGTGCTACGATCAGGTTACCAGATCATTCTTTATACTCTTTTTTATTTTTTTTAACCGTTTAATAATGTGTTGTTATTTGTTGTTAAATTACCTGTAATTTACCGAAATTTCTTTGTAATTACTTGTAATAAATTTCTTGTCATATAACCGTCGCTTGTAATATTGTTTAATATTGTTGTAACGTTCGCTAAACTTTATAACTCTTTTAAACAATGATGAAATAAACGATACACATAATTTTTGAAAGAACAATTAAATTTCTAATTGTTTTCTTTTTTTTTTTTTTAATCAAATCATTTATTTTTATTTTTATTTTTTCTACGGTTAGAAAAGCCTTTGACATTTTCGAAATCCTCCGAACACGTTACACCGAAAGACATTCTAAACATTCTGTGGTAGATATTTTCCTTTTTAATGAAGTGATTGGCGTCTGCAAACAGCTGAAAAAAGCGTTACACAAAAATTCGTGTTTTATCGCCAAACAATAGTCAAAAAAGAAAAGAAAAAAAACAACACAATCCCATTAAAATGCACTATTGTCTTTTTTCTTTTTTTTTTGTTGTTGATGTTGTTGTTATGTAGGTATGTTAAAGCATTTTACAATTATTACAGATTATTCCACTCTTAGTTGACTGAAAGTCAAATGAAAGAATTAAAGAATTAAAGAATGAATGAATTAAAGAATGAATGAATTAAAGAATGTATGAATTAAAGAATGTATGAATTAAAGAATGTATGAAAAGTTGAATGAAATGTTCGTTTGTAATTGTTTTTGTCATTTTTTTTTATTCTTCTTAGATC